ATGGGCGATCGATAAAAGGCTGCTCTCTCTGGTTGTCGTCGTCGCAGTCGTCGTCCGTGGAGACGAGGTTCGGGCGGCAGGCCACGTAAGGAGGGCATTAAAGTGCCGCACGGGGACCACCGCTCCTTTTTCCAATAAACCGGCCTGTGCAGGTAGAGAAACACTCACAAGTGCCTCCACTATAACAACAACTGGTTTCTCAGTCATAATGAACAGCAATCTGTTTGGGAGGAATGAGATGTGACTTGTTTGGCCGTTGGAGGGCTTTTCATTAGGCGCCATGGATTCTCTTGATGACGGCGAGTCAGCCCCCAGTGAAAATGGCCACGTGGTCGCACTGGGACCAGCACAACTCCCCTTGATTTTCATGAACCTTTTCTTTTTTCTTCTCTTCCAGTCGGATAACTCGTTTGTCACACACATCAGAGGAAGGCGAAGATCATACGAGAGAGCCGGCGTTACTTTGTGTTTCACTAATGAGGCCTGTACTCTCCGCCTCCTTGCTTTTTTTTTTTTTTTTGCCTTGCTGCCCTTTGAAACAGCAACGACATGGTGCTACAACACTCTGGCAGTTTTTCCTTTTTCTCCCCCCCCCAAAAAAAAAGGAGCTCCGGGCTGCATTCCTGTTTGTGTGTGTCACTCAGTCTCCTTCGCACTTGTTCAAGGCTCCTAATAGCAGCCGACCTGACACAGAGACACCGGCCCAGTGGTGATAACGATTCAGATTCTCACCAAACTGCAGACGATGACTTTACAAAGTTTCACTGAATAACGGAATCATGACAAATGCAGAACAGAGTCTTGACAAAGGAACAGAACTGTGGCTCATGTACTAGTGAGGAAAGGAACTAAACCATAGATTTCCTTAATTAAGAAACTGACAAACAGAACACACAAGTAAAACTGGCTCAGAAGGAAAAGCACCAAATATGTCGTGTTTTTATCTCGCTTTGTTGACATGCAAAGAAGACTCCTTCTACTCCTTCTCTTATTTATTTGGGATATGTCGACATGCCTCCAACATTTTCACACTTTCTTATCCTCTATGTTTTGTTCTAACTTAGTTATTTTAACAGTTCATTCAAACAGTTTTTGCAATCCTTTTATTTTTAAATTGTAGTATCATCAGCTAATGGTTCTTTTCTTCCTGTAACCCTTCTGTTTAAACTTGCTTTTATTTTGAAATGTCCAGTAGATGTTTCAGAGATATCCCTCTCAGTAAGGGTTTCTGTATTGGGGCTGTCAGCGTTAACATTTTTTTTTTGGGCCCTAGCTTGTCTACAAACCCCCCAACGATGAGAAAAGTCCATCCTCTCCGTCTTTTCCCTGCTCCACCTTTCAAAAAAATGTGTGCTCAAACAGTCCGTTTTGGAGATTCTCCATTTACGACATCACAAAGGGCAGTAGCCCCTCCCACAGCTAGGTGTTTGTTCTGCCTTCTCACCGTAAACAATCAGGCATGGAGCGAGAAAGCCTGAGCCAACCAAGCTCTTCCTGTTTCAGTGGTTTTATCTCGTTAATCAAGTGTGAGGAGTTTTTTGAAGAATCACTACACTTGCAAAATGATTCTCTTAAACTCGGACAAACCCTCTGAATCCTGACATGAGGACTGTGATGTTTTTCCTCTGTGTTAGTCGGCGTGTAAACACACTCCTCCGCAAATCCTTACAAACACCCAATCAGGACCCCGGGGCGGTGATCCTGACAGTGGCTAACTAAAACGGCATAACTGCTGCTTTGATCTCCTTTAATGACATGAACAGCGTTTGATGTCCAAACAGTCGAACACAGCATCTTTCGAGTTTCCCGGGCTGCTGAGCTTTTTTTTTGCCTCCGCCGGACCGCTGAGCACAGACCGCGTTGACGCTTTTTTGCAACAGGCCAGTTTAAAAAAAAAAAAAAGGAAAAAAAAGGAGGGCATGGGAATCCGGGTTGTACTTTTTCAGCTGTCACACCAGGAGGTGCGTCTTATTTTTAGGTAACCAACCCCATTCTCCTTTTTAAAAAAATGGGCGCTTAGAAGTTGAAAATTGCCAACATCAAGAGCTTCCTTGAATTAGGATGCCCCGCAATGCAAGTGTGTTATATAATGCCATGACTGGAGGGAGAGGGAAAGTAGAGCACAGGGGTAGAGATTAAAAAAGTTTCTGCATAAAAAGAGAGGAGGGGGGGGAAGAGATGAGCATGAAAGGGAAAGGGGAGGGAGGGATTGAAAAAGAGACAGAGGAGATAGAAATACAGTATAATGAAAAAAGAGAAGGGGGGGATTAGGTCAGGCAGTGAGTGAGGGGGTCCGCTTCGTACAGCAGGAGCAGCCTCGAGGCCCTGCAGGCTTCAGGAAGGCCGGTCAATCCTTCTCCTATCTGTCAAGGCGTCCCTTCTTTTTTTTTTTTTTTTTTTCATTAAGATAATGGAGCATTTCCTTAATTGGCAGAGCACAGTTAAGGACCGAGGTTTTGTTTGCCAACACGTCAGGAGTAGAATTATTTCCACTACATTTACAGCACAGTGTTGCTTGGATCTCTCTCATTAAAAAAAAAAAAAAAACACAGACTTCCCGCTGACCGTGCGGAGCTTTTCTGCAGGGAAAAAAATCTGCAGAAAGAGGGCCAAACACCACAAACAAAAAAAAAAGAGAGAAGAATAAAACACATTTATCTCCTTTCTCACCATCCCCAGCCGGCTTGTAAAGGAAGAGACAGAAACTTCTCTATCTGTTTACTGTTATTGTTTTTCTCCAATCATAAACCCTTACCTCTGCCTGCTATTGTGTGCTTTTTTTCCTCCCCTCACTGTTTTTGGAAAGAGTTATGCATCGAGCTCGTATGATGTGTATCTTTAAATTTGATTGAGGGTATTTGCAGTGGGGGGGAGTTATTGGATTTCAGTGTTATTGTCTCACCTTTTTTTTTTTCCTCCCCTCCCTCTCTGTGTTTTTAATGTCGGGGATGGATATCCGCTGCAGCAGCACTGATCTCACTGTTCTTGCTCATTAGTTGGGATTCACAGTCGCAACAATAAGACATGCACTTCTTTAAGTCCGGCCATTACCCGGTTTAACAATGTGCACCAGCCAAGAGAAGAAAAAAAAAAGTCCATTATATCTGCAGCTCATCATCTCGAGCATCCACACGAGACAAAGGGTCTGTGAAGCTGCTTCATTGCAAAAGGGTTCATCTATCACTTAAGTCAGGAGTGAGGAATAAAAAAAAAACACATATGTGGTGCCGGGATCAAATATTGTGACTTCTATTGAGGCTCCAGGGGGAATGAGAGTTATATGAAACAGACCAAGGCTTCTGACTGGAGTGTGTCTTCAAGTATGATTTCAAAACGTGCAGAAGCAAGACTAATTATCAGAAGAGTTTTAGCCTGGTTGAAGGGGAAGCCTTTCATTTTAAAACCTTGGCCTTGCTTTAATATTTTAGATTTTCTGAATGAAACACAGCTGTAGAACATTCTTGGTCTCTAATTTCTCTATGATTAGAAAATGTTCTGTTTCCTAGACCAAGACATAATGCCATTTTGCTTGCATTCTCTTGTACGTCTACATCAGAATCAAACTCGTGCACTCCACAGAGAAATCATAACAAAACTCTGCTATCATGTTAGTTAGAGATGCACCGATTTGTCCTAGAAAGATTTTCAGCATGCTCATCCTTGATTAGCGACTGGCCGGTTTCTCTCAAATCTAACTGACCTTGTGTCTCAGATTCAAGCCGCACATTTAATGCACACAGGCAAGCTAACACGTCAGCAGTGTGGACGTGCGGTGCTCATCGGCAAGAGTGGAAAAAAACACATCGACATACAGGAGGAGAAATAATGGTCACTTCCATGCATTTGCTCCTCGTGCCAAAAAGTACCTAGTTTTTTTTCTGCGCCAGCACTGTACATATATGTGTGTGTGTGCACTCTCTCTCTCTCTCTCTCTCTTTTGCTCCCCTGGGCTGGGCGAGAGAACAGTACATTATCATGTTATTGAATTCATATACCTTTAATATTCTTTGGTTATGGTTGGGCACTGAATGATAAAACCTCAGCGTGTGTGCGTGTGAGTGAAAAAGTTTGACCATGAAGTGTTTGCAGGAAATATTGTGAGAATGGGAGTACCTGGTGTAGCTGTATTTTGGGGATTTGTATGCCTTTATTTTAGGGATAGGACGGTGGATAGAGTCAGAAACTGCGGAGAGAGAGAGTGAGTGGGGAACAACATGTGAGATAGAAGCCACAGATTGGATTCCAACCTGGGCTGCCCGCTCTCCAGGACTTAAGCCTTTGTGCATGAAGTATGCGAATAAACCGCTAGGCCACCAGCACCCTGACTCTGGTGCAGCTTTGAAGCTGTTTTTAAAAAAAAGTTAGCCTGATTAGCGGTCAGATTTCAAATTGCATGTTTAGAACAATTAGTTTTTTTTGCAAAAAGTTGGAAAAAGAATCAGGATGTCAAAACTTGCAAAAATCATAATTGCAATCAGAAATGCAATCTTTGCATCTCAAAACTGTAGGACCAATAAATCTCAAAAATCTTTAAAAAAAAAAAGTCAGACACAAAGGCTGAGGGTAGGGAGCGATAAAGGAAAAGCTCATAAAGAGAGACACTGGTTAGTGGTAAAAGTAAGATAGCAGGGGCGTTGAGACGGAGCAGCTGCTACTTTAACACACCTGTCACTGGAATCAAAGGCCCTAATCAAAATTTTATCAATTAATTGATCTTTCCTCTTGTGCTTTGCCATCGAGTGCAATCGAGATTCCCCCTGACTCCTGCCCCCTCCAAAAGCGCGCCGTGCTCTACAACATAAACTGTGTTCATTAGCAATGATCAAGGAATTCTCTAATGTGAGCCGAGCTGTGATATGATGGCTGTCCCCCCCCCCACCACCACCCCCCCGACTTCGTTAGTTTGCAGCACAACTCGCACTCGCTGAACTCACTATCACATCCTGTTGTTATTCTCAACGCCTCCCTCTTGTTGTGTGTTTTTCTCTCTCAGGGTAACCAAGAGGCCACCAACCCCCCAGAAGCGATGGCCCAGCCGTACACCCCAGCCCAGTACCCTCCCCCACCACAGAACGGCATCCCCGCAGAGTTCGCGGCGCCGCACGCCCTCCCGACACAGGACTACACCGGGCAGAGCCGGGTCCCCGAGCACGCCATGACCCTCTACACGCCCACGCAGACGCACAGCGAGCCGGCCGGCACCGACAACAGCACGCCCGCCATCACCGCCACCACGACCGCACCGGTCAGTGTCCTCCATCACCTGCAAACACTGTTCCCAACACGCTGTCAGCAAGTAAAAAAAACATTATTATCAATATTACACTTTTTCCTTTTGCATTAACCTCTGCCAGATGTTTAGAGAAGATTTAACGTTTAAATTCAAAACGTTTGATTGTGATTTAAGAGGCTAATATTTCTATCTGTCTTTTGTTTTTCTGAGTCAAGTGTTCTGTAATGCTTGTTTTCTCTTACTAACGTCTGCCACAGCCTTACGAAATGAAATCTTTAGCTCTTGTGCTCAGGGAAGTTTGACATTGTCTCATTTGGTGCAATAGAACAGCATGTGTCTGTGTTGTTCAGAGATACAGAAGCTAAAGGCCTCACAGATCCAAACTACCAATCCAACATACAGAGGTGCTCCTTGTCCGACGGGAAAGGCAGGCAACTGCTCGGGGCCCCAGACCAGTAGGGGGCGCTCACAGACTTAAAACCAAAGCAGTGGCTCAAAATGTGCAAATTTTGTAACGACAATCCCTTTGGGTGCCCCATCTGAAAGCACTCACTCTATCACTTAGAACAGTGCTTCCCAGAGTGTGGGCCGCAGACCCCTGGTGGTCGTGTGGGTACTACAGGCGGGCCGCGAAAAGGCCAATATTGCAATATTTACCATGAGCCAACCCCTCAAACAGACAGAGTGATTAGTAAGGCCTGTCATGGACATAACATCAGATGATATTTTACTCTCTGTTTAGTAAACTTTTGTGTCTATCTTGCCATAAGATCATGTTGTCATGTCCAATAGTTTACCCTTGCTGAAAGTGGGAGCTGTAGTCATAACTTTTATCTTATGACGGGCCCCGGAGTAATTTTGTGTTTCAAAGTGGGCCGCGACAGTCTTAAGTTTGGAAAAAGGCTGGCTTAGAAAACCAAAGTTTCTCAATGAACGCAACTGAAGAAAAATGAAGAGGAATTAGCCGTCGATAGGAAGGAAGGGTAAAGGAAGAGGAGGAAGCGTCATCTGGCAGACATGATGGTGATGAACGCTGGTTGGACGGGCCCCCTAATTGATTTTAGACGGACTCTAGAATCGCCACTGCCAACATAGTAGGAGCCACAGGGGTGGATTCAAACCCAACCTCTTGGAGGAACATAGCCTCCATACATGGGGCACATGCACTAACCATTAGGCCACCGGTGCCCCCCCCCCCCCCCCTACTTTCCTATTCTTTAGAAAGATTTATTTTTATTTATAGCCCTCCTATGGCTTCATGTGTGACTGTGCCTGGTCCTGATTATAGTTTTTTTTTTTTTTTTTTTTTTCACATGTCACCATAAGGCTGCATGTATTTAAAGTACTGGCACTCCCAAGTAGGGAAGAAAAAAAAAACAAACCCCTGGCAATGCTGTGTGTCGAGATAGAAGGCTTGGAAGTGAGTGAAATTCTGAATTATACATTAAACATTTCCGCCCTTGTGTGCTGATGCTCTTATATGGAAAGCCTTGACCTGGGATTTACCTTCACAAGAGGCAGATGTAGATAAAAAAAAAAAGGAGGAGGAGGACGACTTAGCTGCAAACTTGAGAGGCGTGTCAGATAATGCATGCGGAGATGAAAAAAAAAAGAAGACCTTCAGACCCTTCCTCTCTCTCCCTTTAGCGTGAAAAAACACCTGCTGGGGAAGAGGTCACGGCGAGGGCACGGGCGCTCCTGAGACGGATCTGGGTCACTCATAAAAGAGACGGTTAATAACTCCATTCTCTCTCTGCCGCACAATTACAGAGCGTCGATGAACATTTGGCAAGCGGGGGGAAAAAGTGCTTATGAAGCACATGCAGAGCGGAGGCAACGGCGTATTATCATCTGCCTATAATGTCGCAATGTTTGATTTGAAGATTTGTGTGACGCTCTCCGACTGCTTCCCGCGGTTATAACGCCGCACTTATACAGTAATGGCCGACACACGAGAGAGTTTAAAGTGAGCAGAGACTTGGCAGGAGGTTCAGCTACCCCCCCCCCCTCCCCCACCCCACCACTCACTATCTCCCACTGTCTCCCCCCCTTCTCTCTCTCTCTCTACATTTGATTTGATTTCATGTTGCTCACCCGCTGTGAAGAAAGCCCAGAGACGGTGGCCATGGAGAGATGAGAGCTTGCCTTCATGCTCCCCTCTCTCTCTCTCTCTCTCTCTCTCTCTCTCTCTCTCTCTTTTTGCGCCCGTCCCTCTACTCTCCTTCTCTCCTCCACCCGTTTTTTTTTCTTTTCCCCCAGTGAGGACAGAGGGATGAGATTAGTGGGGTGTAAACACAGAGTCTAATCCTCGGTGGGGCCGCTGCTGTAGTGTTGCCCACCGCTGTGTCTCCCCCCCCCCCGCTTTTATGACAGACCCAGCCTGTTTTGCTCTGGGTGCCACAGACGGGCCCGGGCGCCTTTGATTAGGGCACCCTGCAGGAACACAGATTGAAGGAGCAGATCAGCAACTCTCTCTCTCTCTCTCCCCCCCTCCGTCACACTCGCCCTCCTCCCTTGGCTCGACTCTGCTGCGCTCAGCTCCTCTTTCCCCCCCGCGACGGCGCTTCACTCTGCACATCTTCTCTCGACTTAAAGACACAAAAAAGAGTCAAGAGAGAGGAGTGAAAATTCAGTGGAACGTATGGATTCTGTGTGTATTCCCCGCAGAGAGCAGGGAGTGTGTATGTTTTAATGAGGCGCAGGGACTCTCTGTTTCTGTCTGTGTCTACCAGTATGCTCCGTCTATACTGGGGGGGGGGGGGGGGGGAGGTGGTGCTGTCCAGAGCCAGAGACCTCTGGGACCTCGCTCGGTTGCCGTGTTCAAACAAGCCGACTTGAAAGAAAGCGGGGCGGCTTGAGGAAGAGAGACAGACCCCAACTTTTTTTTTTTTTTCACCAAATCCTCCGAGATGACGGGGAGCAGAGGGCTGCCAGCGAGCTCCACTGGAGAAGAAGAAGAAGAAAAAAAAACCCTGAGCTCGTTATCTGGCTCAGTTCAAATAGTCTGAGGTTTTGGTTGGATTTCATGAGTAATCATTCTCTTCTCAGATAACAAATTAATGGCAGTGGTGTTAGGGCAGCACTCAATTTTCAGATTTTCCACAGCGGCATGAAGACTTTCCAAAGGGTGTTCTGGGGCGACTGTGATAACATGAACACACGAGGGGCAAGCAGACATGTGGGAGCACACACACACTTGCTGTGTTCTCCCATGAGCTGCGTTTCAGACACGACTTGGGAGTAGATTTTAGAGGCGATTCTGGTCGGCCATCATTTAAAACAGGACGACTGAGCTATCTAGAAGTGGGTGGAGCCACTGATTTCCCCCTGCTGTTGAATATCAATCGGCGCAATGATACTTTCCTGGTATGTAGCTTGTTAGCTTGTTTATGTGTCAGAGGCTCATGGCAGTTTTTTTGCATGAACACCTCCCTCTCCAGCTTTCAGCCCTGCCACATTGTTGGGAGTTTCTACAATCTCCCTGTGCACCCCCTCTTAAGTCAATGTTAGTGTTTCCACCGCAGCGGCACTCTGCTCTGCTCCGCCCCCAAAATACGCACCACTGCTACTTTCAGTGGAACCATCTGGAGCCACCCAGACAGGAAGTCACACAAGGGCAAAGCATAGAGCGACTTGTCGATTTCCAAATAAAACACAATACAAAGGCTCCTGATCGTGTGTCCAACCACCATCACATCAAAAAATTGCACCGAATAAAAAAACAAACAACCGCGGAAATGCAAAGTAAGCCGTTGCTTTCCCGTTGTTTTCTTTTATTCCCGCGTGATCTTGTAGTTCTCCTGGGATCTTGTGAGTCCTGCTGCTTATGGCAATGCTTACACTTCAGACACAGACAAAGTGAGGTAAGGTGTGCGCCGTCGGACGAAGCGAAACCACAGCGGAGACGGAACTCTGTGCACACCGATTCTGTGTGGAATCTACCAGTTAGGTACGCTGTGTGTAAAAAGCACAATGACAGTGACATCACAAGAGTTTAATTCAAGGAGAACAAACAGACTTTCCAACCGAAGAAAATTGTCTTTTTTTTTTGGTCTAAAAAACATATAGCAACCAAATCAACTTCTTAGCTGCATATCTGAATAGAGAGTCCTTCAAACGGCTGCACATCTCCTCTGAGGAAGAGTGGCCGAAGAGAACTTCAACTGCTACATACCATTGGTAACATCCTCTATGGAGAATATTCACAGGATTACAACTGTTGCCTAAAATAACTCCTCTTCCTTCCACCACTTGGGAGGGGGGGGGGGGGCGGCGTCTACTCCACGCTCACTTTCTTTACACCCGCTGCTCTCCCAGGTGATGGAGGGGGATATATATTTGCAGCTTCTTCAGAAAACCAAAACAAACAGTGGAGGAACCGGGAGTAGAGGGGAAGAGAGAAAGAAAATAAAAATAATAAATTAAAGCTCAGGCATTATAATTCTTGAGAGCGACGACTCAGTATCCCCCCAACTATTTAATCGGATGTAATCTACCTGCTTGGCAGCATTCCAATCAGATAGTTTCAATTATGCTCTTGTAATGCCACTCTGCGAGGAGAGAGGGGGGGAAAGTGCTGAGCGAAGCACTTTGCAGGCGATTTGCAAAATAACAGCGAGGGGAGTCTTTTAGAGGAATGACTGAACGGGAAGCCGGTAGAGTTGCCGGAGTTGACAGCTCTCTCACTCTCTGGTTTGCTGGCTTCAGCGGTGACGGCATGTTTTGCATCCCCCCCCACCCTCCTCCTCCTCCTCCTCCTCCTCTCTGTGACAGCAGCTGTCGGGACAGTAAAGTGCCACTGAAGGTGGCCTCCTATGGTAATACAGAGGTAATTATTTTCCACTGAAACACCACCATCTCACAACCAGGCGGGCGGGCGGGCTGGAGCCTTCGGGGAGCGGTGTGCACAGGCAAGCGTTCCAGATCTCAGTGACACCCCAAGTTATTGAGTTAGTAGGATGCAGTCTGGGAATGCTTGGGAGTCAGCGATTCTGTATTTGTGTTCTCCGCGTGTGTGTGTGTGTGTGTGTGTGTTTGCCCCCGATGTCAGCGTGCTGCCGTCCTGTCTGAAAGTTAATCTGGGTGTTTGCAAACAACCGCGCCTGCTGGGTAAAAAGAGCAGACAGACAGAAAGAGGACAGCGGTGCTCTGTAGTCTGGAAACATACGCTAAAGGTCGATAGTGTCATGTGTGACCGATGAAACAGATTGACCCGCGGGGGCCTCTGGTACCTTGTCACCCTCCACGGTCCCAGCATCTGTCTGCAATGTGTCACCCACCCCCCGGGGCCCCAACATGGCTACTCAGGCTATTAACCTCCAGCACGCGAGGACACAGCAGAGTTAAGACCCCACTCCGCCCCAACTCTCTCTCTCTCTGTCACAAATCCACTCTCCACACCAGCCGGGCCCGAGTTTGCCACATTCCCCCGCTGCCCGTGTCCTTCTCCACTTGTTAACCTCTGGGTCCTGGATGCCTTCAAAAAGCCCAAAAGACGGAGACTCGGGGAAGCTGCTGCCACCGATCCCGCTCTTACCTGTACGGCTGCGGGGGGGGGGGGGGGGAGACAAAGTGGGACCTTGAATCAAACAACTGTCACCGCTAACAATGTATGTCACTGTCTCGGAATGGGCCATAAAAAGCGAATAAATGACGGCCATTACAGTGGAGATTGTGATTATGATAATGAGAATAATAAAGGCGATCATCATTACGATCATGATGATAATGATAATACTGTGATGATGAATTATAATGAATAAATCTCTACCCCATTTCCTAAATGGTGGGAGATGTATCACTAAGAGTGGCCCGCAGCCATCTGACAGCCTCAGAGCGGGGCGAGGGTTATCATCGTGTGAGCGTGCGCGTTTAGTGTGTGTGAGTGTGTGTGTCATTTGAACCGTTTCTACTCTGGCAACAACCTGCTCCCCCCGTTCCACGTCTGTATCTCAGTACAAGATTGTGTCTGTATGTGTGTGACTTCCCTGCCAGTGTATAGTGTGTTTGCCGTGCTCAGAGAGCACTTCCCGGGAGACCTCGCAGTTTACATATCACATTCAAACAGCTTTTTGTGCTCAATATCTGCCACTTCCACTCCACCGTGTCTCAGTCTCCGCCCGCCCCCCCTCCGCTCTCACTTCCTTTATTTAGTCAGCCTTCTGAGTCACTAAATCAGGGTTCATTTTTTTGTTTGTTTTAATAATTTTTTGTTCTCTTGCAGAAAGGAGAAGATTCAAGCCAAAAAAAAGAAACACAGCGATGCCGTTTCTTTTTCTTTCTTTTTAAAAAATAAATAAATCAGACTGTGTGTGTGTGTGTGTGTGTGTGTGTGTGTGTGTGTGTGTGTGTGTGTGTGTGTGTGTGTGTGTGTGTGTGTGTGTGTGTGTGTATATATATATAAGAATAGATTTAGCCTCTAGGTTTCAAACGCAAAGTCAGAATGCATCCAACTGCATGCATGCATGGGGCAACCCCACTGTTAGCTCAAAGATGTCTGATTGTATAGAAGTCTATGAGAAAACCAAACTTAGGTTTGCACTCCAGTTTTTAACCTAAGAAAATATTTTTCTTAAATGTTTCAATTCAATCAATCAATCAATTTTTATTTGTATAGCGTCAACTCATAACAAGTGTTATCTCGAGACACTTTATAAAAAGCAGGTAAAAGACCTTACTTATTGCTATATTACAAAGACCCGGCCTATCCATTATGAGCACTTTAGCAAAGCAGCAAAAGTTACAGTGCTTGTGCTCTCAAGTTATTAGTTTAAGTTATTCTTTGTTCATTCTGAAGATTATGGTTTGAAGTTACAGTACAAAAAGACACAGGCACTACATGCATCGTATTTATTGATTTAATCAAACTGTCCACACTTTATGCTACTTTATTCAACAAAATGTCATCACAGTAGTCAAAACACTATTTCAGGCACTGACACCATTTCTATTGAAGATTTTTAAGGGTTAACTCAAATAATACTTCTTCTAAAGTTATTAATTCAATCCATGTTTGTGCTGCTTCAAACTGCCATCTATGTAATAAATCACAGAATAAATAGTGCAACACTGAATTTTGAGCTTTTAATCCAAACACGAGGATTCCACATGATCTACACCACAATGTGAATAAAAGAGAGGATTAACAATATACCATTGAACAAATAGGATTTCTCCACAGTACACATCGGAAAAGAAACTGCCTCAAAAACAACAAAGTCCGTCTGAACAGACAAGCAGCCGGCAACCTGTGAGCGAAATCAATCAGAGGTGTCGCGCGGGGAAACAAGTGAGATTTGTCATTGACATCAGGCGCGTCATTTATATAGAAATGTCAGCATAGCATTCGCATAATGATGGAAAACAACAACGCTGAGGGCTGTGGGCCTCGCACACTTGATGGCTGTGTGCAAAAAAAACGTCACCAATAATGTGTCTTTAGTCTAGACATGTCAGGGCTCCGTGGGATCTATATCCACGCCTTTTTGTCAGCACTTCAATCTTCCCTGTTGCTCAAGAGCTAAGTGCAAGAGATTAATAAGTGGATTTGTAATGCACAACCTGAGGTTTGACACGATAAGTCATCGGCTGTTTATCGCTTTGGCTTTGCTCGCCAGATTTGAAAAATGGCAGACGCTGAGTAAGTTAGTTAGGCAGGCCTCCCCCCACCCTGCATCCCACTACCCCCCCCCTCCTTTTTTTTCCAACCCCTCCCCTGTTCTGGTATAGTTCAGGGCCGGGAGGTAGAGTATACTGTAGCGGCTAATGAGCAGCTTGTGTCTCTCTTTTTCTGTTTGTTTCCCTCCGGCAGACAGATGATGTGACGCAAACAGAGGGCTCTCAGCAGCTCCAGCTCCAGCACTCAGACTCTTCAGAGAAGCAGCAGCCCAAAAGGTTACATGTCTCCAACATTCCCTTCCGCTTCCGGGACCCCGACCTAAGGCAAATGTTTGGGGTGAGTATACCTGGAAGGGACATCACAAGTCAGTCATCACAGTTTTTTTTTTTGTAGGTCTAACTACGGTGGCCCTGAAGGCAAACTGTTAAAAAAAAGACATTTCACAGAAGGCAAAAACATTTCATTAAAAGCAAAAAAAAAACATTTGAAAAACTTTAAAAATTGCTTGAAATAGACATTTATGCAATTCTTTTGCATTTTCCATTTACATCTCAGGAATTGAATATTTTTTTTGCATTCTGTTGACCCTCAGGGCCACCGTATGTAGCCCATAACATGAACAAAGGTTTCTATGGTGACCTGAGAACACGCTGACAATAATTCTACAAAGCCAAATTAGCCGTCAGGTAACCAGTCCAGTTGTAAAAACTCCAATCCAGTACCAAAGGAACGTTTTAATCAGGGTGTCCTGCAGTGTTTTATATTAGTACAGCTCCACCTCGCTCGCAACAGAGCGGACCTCTGCTATCATCAAAGAGTTATTACTATAATGAAGTGGCTTATTAAGCATCGGGGATAACAAGCAGAGGGGAAACATCCTCATAGAGGGGTGGGTATTTGTATAGTTCTTGGTTGTAATGTTTTGGAGTAGTTCCTGCTTGTTGCTTCAGCTAGCAGCTCAAACCGGGATGTGATAGCTTCAACGTGATCCATTGGGAACTGGGCTTGATCGGAAAACGTCCATTAAAAGTCCTTGATTTAGCTACAGTCACGCTCTGATTGAAATTGTTAGTGTCTCATAAAAAGGACGCCTACAAAGATTGGGTTTTATCATTAAAACTTCAGATTTTTGTCTTCACACTTTGCTCTCTTCAATGCACCAGACTCCATTGACCAAAAAAAAGTAGTTTTAACTTGCAGAACAGGAGAGTTTCTGGTACCACCCTTTTTGAAATGACACCGTTTGTTTGAGTTATTGTGTACATTTTGTTTCCACTGACTGATTCTGATGCAACATGTTATTTGTGTAGTAAAGAAAACTGACTGCCAGAGCAGGTAAGGTAAAAAAAACTGTTTTCATCAATGGAGTCTGGTGGATTTGAAGTTAGCTATGAATGTTTCCTACTCAAAAGAATCATCTAATGATAAGTTGGTAGAGTCGGTCGTCTCTCAATCAGAAGGTCAGGGTTTGATCCCCAGCTCCTGCAACCACATGTCCGATACGTGCAAGACACTGAACCCCAAGTTGCTCCCACTGCTTCTTCGTATGAATGGAATCAGCTTATACTGATGAACACTTTCCATCAGTGTGTGAATGGGTGTGAATGGGCTGGTGTGACCTGCCATGTAAAAGCTACAAAAGCACTATAAAAGCTCAAGTCCAGTCCAAATCCATTAGCTCAGTCTTTCAGGATCCTTTCCAAAATGTTATGAGAGTCCAAGAAATGAGGCAGTTAGAAGCATTTTAATTGATGTACTGTTGTTTGTTTAGATGCATTTGACTGCAAAGATGAACACTGCAGTCATTGCAGCCTGTTGTTGGCTGCAGACTGAAATAATCTACAAAAACATTTTTGTACTAAAGGCATTAAGACATGGAAAAAGGTAGAGCCTTGGTTTAACTTTGCAGTAAATTAAACTTCAACGAGTGAGACGACTTCTTCTACCACTAGGGATCTAGTGACTTCATTGGTTACAAACTTCAGAGGGAAATAAAATAAAAACGTTTTAACAAGTTTAGGGAGGTAAATAAAAAGAAGCCCAATTAGTCACAGAGGGGGGGCTGGTGTGAAAGAGATGAAACACACTGGTACATTAACACCAGGCTGAAGTTAGTAGAGATATAGAGTCAGTCCAGTATCAACGTTTGCTGAGAGATTTTAGCAATTAAATCAGTGAGAAGAACGCTTTAGTTCTTCAATTCCGGTCACTCATGTTTACCAAATATTTCCAAAAGGATACTTTTTGTTGTCACACTTCTGAAGTCCATCATTAAACTCTGTCAGCTAATATGAAGACTGGAGAAGAATTATTTGTTGAGGGGTCCGCTGCAGTACGATTACATGTCGGTATAGCAGAGGTCCTCAGCTAAAACTCTTCTCTTCCCTCCCTTCTGTCTCTCGGCCAATTAATGAGGCAATGAATAGTTCAACAGCTCACCCTTGTGTCTCGCAAAAGCCTCAATAAGAATTGAACCAAACATCCCCCGATTCAATAACTATAATGGATCTGAACGGAGACGATTGCCAAAAATGTACTTTAAATGTTGCGCGCTAATTGGACCATTAGAAGCCAGAGGCGTTAATTCTCATCGTTATGAAGACAACATCCAGCTGATGATATTAATTACTCGAGAGGCCTGGCTCGGGGTTTTTTATAAATTGCAGACAACATGGCTGCTCTCTCTCTCTCTCTCTCTCTCTGATTGTTGGTTTTATTGTTCCCAGCTCTGGTGCAGGTCGTGTGGAATCCAAATCGCCTCGGTAATTAGCTCGGAGGCTTTTGTGTGCCTGGCCGCCGCCCGCATGCAGATATACGATAGAAAATTGATCGCAGCCCACCCGTTCCCCCCCTCAATCACCCTCCTGCACCCACGTGGTGGTGCCCTGTTCCTTTCTTTCCTACATGCCCTGCCCTTCTCAGCGGTTGGCATAGCAGATATGGGGGTTGCAGGATTGATTGTCTTGGGGTAGGGCTTGGCAAAGGAGATAGCTGGTTGTTCTCCACCCTCTGACATGGCCTCCACAATGAGCCTTTTGTGTCATCAGCGTGTGCAAAATCCCTCTAGCTCTAATGGCTTCTGGAGCGCCATCGGCTCAATACGCCATTACTGCTGTGCATGAGTGAAACCCACACACATGAAGGCGATGGGAGGCCGAGGAAAAGAGGTGTGAAGGTGCGGCACAGCCCGCTAGAGAGGGGCCCGACAGGCAGAGAGAAAAGCTTGTTGGGGAGCTCCATCTGGCTCCTACACGGGGAGGAAGAATCCCAGCAGTATAGGAAGCTTTTTTGAGCCAGCACCCTAAAAAAAACACAAAAAAAGGGGAGGGGCCTGAGATGCACCCTGCCACGCCACTGGATTAAAGGGTGTGGAGCAACCTGTGAGCCTTTAACGAGGCACTGAATGAAGGGGCTCATTAAGGGCGACCACAGCGGACCCTTAATCAGTAATTAGAAACTGTGATCTCTGAGAGCTCACGAGTGAGAAAGGGAAATGAAAACACTCCGAGTGCGAACGAGAAGCTCTGTGCGCCGCCGCGCTCGCACTGCTCGAGGGTGCCCTCGTTTGTGCGACCGGAGTTCTTCAGCAGTGCTTCTCTCCGAGCATGTAAGGGCTCTCACAGCGCTCCCCCAGAGCAATCAGGACCTCTGCCCTCATCCCCTCCTCCACCCCCATCCTGCTGTCACACTCACTGCTGTGCCCTAACATGCTCCACACACTGGAGCTCGGCTGCTGTTTGAATACACAGGGCTGCTGCTGCGGCGGCGGTGTAATTATAGGTTTCTGAAGCGCTTGAAGATATTCAAGCTAATCAAAGGTGGAGGCACAGCGGCCGCGATCTTGTTTGTGTTGCTTTCACATGAGGAGGCTGAAGGCATCAGCAGCACAGTGTGCAGTGATTTGATCAAGGATAAAGGCAGCAGGGTCCACTGCGCATTGAAGGACCATGCCACTAAACTGAAAACCTTTTGATTACCTTTTTGTTTGCATACCGTTCATTTTCTTGCTTTTTTCAAGAGATATTGCAAGTGCTGGAGAAAGGCCATCCATGGATTCTGATAGATTGGTTGAAGAATGATTTTTCGAAGCATTGGGGTCTCTGACCAAGCGGCCGTATTTGACAAGATTGTGAGTCAGAATGGGCTGCTGATTCTGCACATCATTTCCTGAAAAAGAGATAATGTAATAGAAGCCAAAGCAGACTCCAAAAGATTGTAATGAAAACCAAACCGATGCCCAGAATAGTTAAAAACATGTTAATTGGAGGAACAAAATTTACAATTTAGGTCAGCACTTGTATAAAAATATCTCTGATAAATGGGGTAAAAGATGCAAAAGCACTGGAGTGGGGCTCTGACGTGGGAGTACTTCTGCTTCTATCTTGCTTTTTCTATCGCTGTTCAATTTATCTATTCAAACAAATGGATGTATGATCGAGCTGCAGCCTCTTAGATGACGTCAGCCTCTCTTGTCCTCCCTTTGGAGACTCCTCCCATTGAAGCTATTGTTTATCGGTGCTGCTGAGGCAGCTGTTTCTGTGTGTGTGTGTGTGTGTGTGTGTGTGTGTGAGTGGGTGGGTGGGGATAGCAGTGCATGAGATCACTGGTGAGCAGCGAGCAGTCCCCAGCGCCATGTGGAAATCCACAAAGACGACTTCCTCTGAAACTAATTAATCGACGCCACAAGCCCATTACGCTCGGTTAAAACAATTAGCATCTGCACATTGCGTGGGGGAAAGCATTGTCATCTCAGGCGAGAAAGGGGGCATCACGCTGGGATATAAATGCCTGTGTGTGTGATCGAGCCAGCACTTCCCCATTCGAAATCAATGAAGCTAAGCGCCATATGAAGCAGCTGTGTGGATATGGGATCTATGGAATGTCTTTTCCAGAACTTATATAGGGGGAGGAGATGCCCCCTGCTGCAACAGGAAAGAGTTCAAATCACCAACCAAGAGAATTTGTTTTCCTTTAAAACCAGGATCCTACATTAAAGTATCTTGGGATCTAAATGACCAATTGGTACCAATTGTTTGCTCAAGTTGAAGGACACAGCTGACAGCCATAAAATGGGCTGTAACCCTCAGGGGCGCATTCACATAATCAAAGTATTCTCACTTTAAGTGTTGTTTTTTTGCCACTGATATACTTCTTCTAAGTGCCTAAACGCATTACACAAACCTACGTAAATAAGCCCCTTTTTTAAACACTAAGATGCCTTCAGTTTAACCTAATGTTTACAACCACCAGACTCCAACGATAAAAAAGAGTCATTTTACAGAGAAAACATGAGTTTTATGGTCTACTGCTCCCTCAATGGGGTAGCTTTGTAATATTTTGAGAGTGTGGGGTTTTTAAATGGTAACCACTGACTGAATGTTTGAGTCGCACATGGCAACACCGATTCATTGGAGGAGCAGCGCCTGAGTTTCAGGAAGTAAAATGTCTGTTTTTTTGTTTTATGGAGGGAGTGTGGTGGCTGTTAAGTCAAACCATGTAAAAAAAAAATGTCTTCCTCTTTAACACAAGTTAAACATCTGTAGGGATGCTTTCAATGTATGAGACAGCTCAAATTACCATCTGAGCCAATTAGTGGAAAAAACAAGAGCTTTTAGTGGATGTTCTTTGATTGGGCACATTTGCAATCCAAGGATTAATTTGCAATCATCAACTTTGGGAGTTCTTAGATTTTTGGTACCTTGTGAAATCAAGTTCCTACATTCAGAAATAATTACCATTGTGCTTGGTGTGGTGAGGCTACTGCAAATCCTCTCAAGTGCAGGGAACATATGTGCCTTTCTCCAACCCGTAGACCCTTACCGTCTCAAGCCCACTCCACTCGCTTCAGCCAGATAATAGCCAGCTCCTCCTAACCCCTATTAGTGGCTCAGTCAAACGATCCATCCATTCCCATTGAGCGTCGACCGCATGGAAGGCCCATTTCTTCCCTGTTGTGCCGAAATGAAGGCGACGCGGACCGCTTGACAGGGTAATTACTTTTAATGAAATAATACGGCCATCGTAGACAGCAATTAAAAGTCTCTCTCACTCCACTCATTAGAGGAACTTACAGTTTACTTTCATTCCTCCCTTTTCTAATGATCCGAATGGCAGGCCTGTTAAATCGAAAGGGCTGGAGCATGTTAACCCCGTGGGACTGGCCCTCAGGTCCTGTTGACTGCGAGAGCACACAAACAAAGGGGCGGAAGAGAGAATAGAGATGAGACGGAGAGAGAGAGGCGAATAAAATGATTTTTTTAGGGTACTTTCAGAACGGGTCCACCAAACTTTTCACGAGTCAGAGCTCAGCTATCTGCTCGGGAGACTCGGCAGAAATCCCCAGGTGAGCGTGAAGGTGGAGGAGGGGGTTCAATATCTGAAGACAGCATCAAAATATAATCAGCTTTTTTTTTTTTTTGTTGTATTTCCTGTGTGAAAACAAGCGAGCAAACAAACATCAGAGATGCTGATGTGCAATCAAAGATCCAATGTTTTTACAGATGCTGTGATCTCATTTCATATAGTATCGATAGATCTACAAATAAAATGCATTAAAGCAGCAGCAGCTCTCTTTTTTAAAGCTTGCCAGCCAGCTTCAAAAAGAAGTGTTTCCTGAGCTAACAAATGCAAATTGACCGCCATTTCCTCACAAAAGTAACATTTCCATATTGCATTAATGGTTTTTTCTCTTTCTCCAGCCGTCCTTCTCATGAATTCACAGCCAGTAAGGCTTTTCTAACTCTGTCTCTGCCCGTTTTCTTCTCTTCTCTTTTTCTTTTCTCTCTGCAGCAATTTGGAAAGATTTTAGATGTGGAGATTATCTTTAATGAGCGAGGATCCAAGGTAAGTGAACTAGAACACCAGCTGCTTCATTACCATGTACTTCTTCTGTTTCCTAATGATGGCATTAGTGTAGTGTGTACATTGGCTGAGAGTAGTGGTCCCTAAGCCTGGTCCTGGAGAGCCGCATCCACCATGCCTCTCCCTTTTTTTCTCCGTCTCCCTCCCTCCCTATTGTTTTTGTTGTTGCAGCTCTAACCCGAGTTGTGAATCATTAGCCCTGTCAATCAATTCATTATTGAGCTGTTTCACAATTCACTTAATCCAGCAAGCCGGCTGCGGGTCCTCCAGCTTCTGGAATTTAAAACCTGCTCGTTTAGGGACCACTCTGCTCTTTGATGCCCAGCATTATTCCGGTTCTTTCATTTTGTTTTTTTGTGAGATGTACCGCGATTCAGGGCCGAGAACAATGCTCTGGGATGTTTTCAACACAAATGTAATTTAGTCCTGCTTTCACTTCACATTTCAAACTTCCCACAGAGTGCATTAGCTGTTTGCAATATGGCAGATTTTAAATATTCAATTACATCCAAGATGATATGATCATTTTGAGGAGCAAGTTGAGGAAAAAATGGGTTCTTAGTGTTCAGAAAATCCAACTAACAAAGTGTTAGTGTGTGTCTGAGTGTGGATCTCCACCAGAAACATATTGGTTCATAGCATCGGGTCACAGTTATACAAACTGATCTTATTTGAAGGCTTAAACAGCTGATCTCGGGAGGTTTTTACATCCATTTCTCAAATGGGAGAACTCAGTTTTTGTGGGTATTTTGTTTCAAAGATATGTCGACATTAAAACAAAAACAGAGTAAAGACAACCTTTTCCAGTCCCAGAGCAAAATGTCCAGAGATGGACACCTGTCCATCAATCCACTCATCATCAATTATCCTTGGTATAGTTTTGGTTAACGTCCAAACCCCGCCCTTATATGGTGAGATGGATGGCGGACAACCTGAGCAAGAGCATAGCACTTCCTGTTCTTTACAGAGCCCCCAAAAAGTGTCCATTATATGTCACCATGGCCTTCAAATAACCGGATAACACTAGTTTAAGTTAACGTTCATTTAAACATGAGTACTTTGAATGTTGGTTAAAGATCATCTAGACTCCCAAAACCCAAGAATTCAAAGAAAGCTGCTAGAGAAGAAGAAGCCCGAGCTCCGCCTCTCCTCTTGCAGTATCAGTCTCCTAACCAGCTCCCATGGACAGGTGAAGCCTGCGGTGGTGTGAACAGCCGAGTGCTCCTCATCCAGCTGTTCATTTAATAGAGTGTACTAAGCTCCACAGCTTTCCATTCATAAAGCAGACAGGGTCCCTGGCTGGGGGTGTTGAGGCATGAATGCTATTGATTCCCATTCATACCTGGGAGTAGTGTGGGGTTGGTATACAGGCACGCTGGGAGCCCTGGAACCCGGCTCAGCCCCCCCCCCCCCCCCCCACTGCCAGACAAGATTTAGCACCGGATAAACCTGCCTCCCCCTGCCGTAACAAGCATTTATTTTTTGTGCCCTACAAAGCCATTACCCATGATGCCCCTCTCTCGCTCTCTCTCCCGCACCACTGTGTGCTATATAATGAACCGACCAGGCCATTAATAAACAATCTATTTCCTATGAAGCTTTGGCAATTTGCATTCAATATGTTTGTCTCCTTTGAAAAATGGTGGCCTCTCTCTCCCCTCTTGTAAGCTAATTATTTGTGCATGATAAAGAAGAAGAAGAAAAAAAAGATAGAGGGGGTAACCACAGTCGGGTGAATGTCCAAAGGATTAATTTTGCCCTCAATTCCTTTTTTCTGAATTTATTTCTTTATCTGTCTTTTCCCCCCGAGGACAGGTCCCCGTGTTATTTATGCTAGGAATAGCGGCCCCGGAGATATCCTGCGCCATGCATACGAGATCACGCCCGCTCGCCATCTCTCACATGTATTACATCCTCGAGCAATTATCAGGCAGCGTCGGCCATGCTCCCTCTCCCCTCCCCCCCCCTCTGCCCCATGCCTCTATAAGTATATATAGAAACCAAAGGAATGGTTGCTTGTTTGGCCAGCATATCATAAAGCTCCTAGCTGTAGCGCTCAGGTCCAGCATCCCAGTCCACATAACTCAAGGAAGTGACAAACCCCCCCCAGGGGAGCGAGGGAGACAGAGAGCTGAGGGGGGGGATGGAAATTAGACGTTGGGTATATTTTGGTCAGGGGGGTTTTAAAGGCAATATCCTCGCTCTTCTCCATTACAACAGGATGGGATTTTGCGGTGACACCATTCACTTTTTTCGCATCAATGGGCCGCTGTAATTTTTTGCCTCCATAAAAATGTCCTACTTATTAGAGCAGTGGATTAGAAATAGTCAGAGATCAAGTCTCCCTTGCCTAGGACTCTCCCTCTCCTGGATGTCCGTGTTTTCAAATGGAGACGGATGAGGCAAGAGGGGTGGAGGGAGGGGGGAGGGGGAGGGGGGAGGGGGGTTTGTTTGAGCGGCCAAGCTGCTGAAGTTGTGTAGATAATTATACGACTATTATGGCAGCTAACAGTGTTTTGCATCTGCTGCCTCCCTCACATTCACCCGTGGCACCGGTGCTGTGCTGTTTAATTGGGTAAAGCAGGCAGGTTTGTTGGGTGTTGTTGTGCGAGGTCATGTCACCGTTATCCTCTCTCCTTCCTTTGGATCTCTCTGTTTGCTGTTTCCTGACGCCTCACTAACTGCCTCTAATTAATCTGGCTGCTTACAACTCGACTCTGCTGCTGCTGCCGCTGCACACCTAGTCCTGTCTTCTCACCTCTACTTTCCTTTCTCTCCTTTTTTCTTTCTCTTTGTGCGTGTGTGTGTGTGTGTGTGTGGATGTCTTCGGATGTGTGCATCCTTTCCTTCTCCCTTTTTTCTCCACCGGTGGCTAACGTGGTGCTCTCAGGGCTTTGGGTTTGTAACTTTTGAAACAAGCACAGATGCCGATCGTGCACGGGAGAAACTAAACGGTACAATCGTAGAGGGACGCAAAATAGAGGTGCTTTCACTTTTCCTCTTCTTCCCCCCTCATCTTTCTCTACTTCCTGCCTGCTGCCTCCTCCTACAAAAAAAAAAACTTGAAACCCCATGCATTAGCATGCGGCTGCTCTGTGCGTGTGTGTGGATATTTGCATCCCTGGATGCATGCATGCATAATGGTGCATATAACTTGAATGCGGGACGCACAGACATGTCGACCTGGACACACCAGTTGTCCATCATTACCTGACAACGCAGAATGAATGCATGCCATCATCCTCCGGGTTCCCCGTCTAATCTGAGAAGACCTGCATCCCCCCGTTGTCACCATCGTTTAGTGTTGCCTGCTCTTATTCTACTCTTGTTTACGACAAGCGGACCCCTCTCCACTCAGTCATTCTCATCGGGTCAATAGAAGAAAATCAAAGCACTGTCTGTGTTTTTCTTTTGGAATCCATTTGTTTATCCAAGCAATTACTGAATTTGGAGGCTGTTCTCTTTTTCTTTTTTCTTTTTTATCCATACCTCTGGGTAATTGGTGCATGCTCTTCCTCCTCTTTCCAGTAATTTAGTAATCTGCAAGAAAATTGAGAATGATGAATTAATTCATGAAAAGGTGGCCCCCGAAATTCTGCTGCCACAAACATTTAACATAATCATTTTTTTATGTAGTTATTATATTATAAATGTGTCCTTATTTTGTCTTGGTTTGCTGCCTGCTCCTCTTCCATCCTGACTGTCTGGAGTGTTTTAATTGATTGGCTAAGTGATACTAAGAAGTGTGTTTTTTATTGCAGGTGAACAATGCAACAGCACGGGTGATGACAAACAAAAAGGTGGCCAACCCTTACACGAACGGTGAGACACAGAAACATGAAACCAACGACTGTGTAAAGTATAAGATGTGGATGCAATCTGTGGATTACAAAGTGGAGTCAAGTGCCTGAAACCTGAGTTCAAATAGTCAAAAGGGGGGGGCGACTCCACAGGCTGCACAAACTAGTCTGATTATATGAATGTCTACAAGAAAATATGTTTACTTCTTATTTATCTCCTTACTGTTTTATTACATCAGAGAACATTTTCCTAATGACTGAAGTGTTCTTAAACACAACATGATGTTCATTTTGTAGATTTAGAGTAATGAGCATTTCCTTATTCCTTATTCCTCTCAAGCGCGACAAAGTATTTCCAATTCTACTTCCCAAAAAAACAAGATTAAAATGAAAAAAAGCCAAACATCAGGTTTCATGAAGTCGGCAGCAAAACCAATTATATGTAACTTATATATAAAGTGTATGCATGCATAAAATGTGAGAATATATTTTCATACAAGTCCAATTGTTCTCTGTTTGCTTTGGTTTTTTTGCTTACCAGGCTGGAAGCTGAATCCAGTGGTAGGAGCTGTCTATGGTCCTGAACTGTATGCCGGTAAGAGACCAGCGGCCCTCTGCAGCCAGAGTTTACAGGCTCTCTCTCTCTCTCTCTCTCTGCCTTTCACCAACATGTACCACTCTGTACCTGAGGCCACTATCAGCCGCAGCCAATCCCAATCTGACCCCCTGAAAATTCTACAATCGGGCTCATCCTGCACCTACTGAACATGAAATCCCCCCCCTCGAATCAAAGTGAATCTGAGAGCGGGCCCCAGATAAGCAGTGGATGATCCAAGCTCTCTCTGAGTGGCTGAGGGAGCCTGAGCCATTGTTTGCGCCGTGTGCAACTGTAAAAGCTAAAAAAAAAAAAAAAAAAATGATTTCAAGAGCAAGCGCCCCTGCAACTCTTATCAGATTGTGGAGGCTGCTGCTGTGGATGGATTTGCCAAGTGCGCCAGATTGACTTTTACAGAGCTAACCGAATAAGGGAGATTGAGTGAGCGATATTGTTGGCACCTACCCTGTCGAAGGCCGCTATTCCTTTTTTTGGTTCTCAGTAATGGAGGAACGAGATGAGCTCAGTGGGGTTTTCCCTATCTCTCTCTCTCTCTCTCTCTCTGCCTCTGACATGCCAGCTTTATTGCTGTATGTTATATGAACCCTTTGCATTTTAATGAGGGGGAAATGGTACTATTTCATTTGGAAGAAGTGCTGAGCACATCGCGCCACTTTAACGGCTTTCCTTTCTGCTCATTAGACTAAAATCTGTTCATTCCCCGGACAGCTTTACGGCGAACCTCTAAATAACTGTCCATGACAGAAAGCAGTCATCTATCATTTTTATTTCATCTCCAACCCCTCACCCGCTCCATGCCTCCTCCTTTCCCTTCCCTTTCCTCCCACCTCCCCTTCCCCCTCCTCCTCCTCTTCCTCCTCCCCCCAAACACTCCATTGGGTTTCGACATCTTTCCCCTGATAATTATGCACACGGACGAGCACACACAAACACATCCCTTGTGCTTATATTTATATATGTGTTGCCATGGTCAGGTGGAGTTTTCACTAAATCAAACATCTGGACGACAAAGTGGAATTGAACCTTGGCTTTTTGTTTCTCCCTTCTCTACAAGCCAACAGACTCCATTGATAAAAACAGTCGTTGTACTTGTGCTCATCACAATGTTGGCTTGACTTTTGCTGCCTTGACTGGTAAAGTTTTGTATTGTCATGTGACTTAAGAGATCGCTCCGTCCTAACACAAAACAGTCTAACTGAGCATGGCATAAATAGTGTTCTGTCCATCCAGTCTGTCGTTTAAAGAGGGCAAATAAACATCTGTTTCCGATTTTTAAAAAGTATCTTACTCTTTAAAAAAGGTCTCTGTGTAGAGATCTTGTTGTTCTTCGTCTGTTAGAAAAACAATCTGAGACTGTCAGTCAGTGTTGTAGTCAAGACCACACTAACCAAGACTAAGACGTATCGGAGACCAGAGACCGAGACATTTAGAGATCAAGACCCAGACCAAGGCAGGTAGAGAACGAGACAAGACCAAGACCATAAGTATAGATGAAAACAGTAAACATCAACCATAACACCAGTATTTTAGAAAGGGGCGTTTTCCTTTAGTCACAGTAATGACGTAAAAAAAATAACCTTTAAGTTGTGGTCTTCATTCAAAATCCAGAGTCCGCCCAGTCTGATACCGAGACAAGGCCGAGTAAAAATGTGTTGGAAGACTGAGACATTCAAAAAGTGGTCTTGACACCAAGACTGATTTTGAGTAACACAACACTACTGTCAGTGGCAAAAACAAACACTTTCAGTGGACGTACTTTGATTTGTCCTAATGTTAAAAATGCTACACATTTAATTTGCAACAACTTGAATTGGTAAAGTTTTTTTTTGAGTTAATATCACAATGTTTTGAAGTCAATTCTTAAAATCTAAGCTCCAATTCTACTGACCTATATGCACACTCAACTCTGTCCTCTGCCCTGTTTTTACACCCAGACCAAAGCATTCCAGCACACACAAATAGATAACCCTATGTAGAACACAGACACATACACAAGTCCCCCTTTTCTCATGTGCACTTTCTCCATTCCATGCTCACAGACACACACACACACACACACACACACACACACACACACACACTTCCCAAATCATCTCATAAATCAGAGGGAGTGTGGTCCACCACTCCAGGCAGGGGAAGCAGGAGGGGTTGGGTGATTTATTGGCTGCTAATTTTTCAAGTCGTCTTGACATGGCACTGGAGTTTGCCAAGCCTAAACGACGACATATGCTTGCCAGCTGGGAAGACGGGAAACATAAATAAGAGATACATTTTTGAAACAAAACACCCAGCCCTGATGAGCAGGAAAAGGTAGCCGTTATCTGTTCGGATAAAACAAAAACAAAACACACAGAACATGCCTTTCATTAGGATGTTCCTCCCATCTCCAAGAAATGAAAACACAAAAAGACAAGTTCCGTCAATTCAGGATGTATTCCAAAATCATTATGGCTACAGTTAATATACTTTTGGTGGGAGTAAAATTGGATATAAAGGCGATTAATCACTGTTTATCAGTCCTCATTTCTGTGCGGGAGATCAGTGAAATTGGGAGCCATAAATCCTGGCTCGGTGACAGCACACTTCGTCTCCATTCGTCCTGGCGCTACAGGTTTATTGTCCTCAAAACCCATTCAGGAGAATGACGGATGAGCGCCTCATGCCGGCTCCCCGCTCTTAACCTCTTCCCGGGTAGATTGGCTCCTCCTACCGATGGAGAAAGGGGGGATGTGGGAGAGGGGGGGAGAAGGGGGGGGTTTAGATGGTAGGGGTACAGGCAGGTGGCGCCATGTCCTCTGCTGCCACCTAACACCCAAACCTCCCCGAGAGCCTCGTTGGAGGCGGGAGGGGGGTCGGTGGTTGTAGGGAAAGAGGAGCAAGGTGATTGGGTTCCCAGTCAAATGGAAGGATTGGCAATAAAACATGGCAATGGCACAAATCATGGTGTGTGTGTGAGAGAGCTGGAAGGCGTCCAGTTTCAGTGCTCATCTTTGTTCTTCTTTTTCCTGCGGGCTGATCTGTTTACAGAAAAACTTTTGTAAGCAAACCCCAGAATCTGTCCTCAACTGGGTCCAGCCATATATAACAACTATCTCATGTCTTTGTTTTGGTCCATTTATTTGCTTAGCAACACATGCACCCTTGTGTACAGTCTATAGTCAATGTTTACAGAGAGAGGTTATCTCACTAAAGCTCATGAAAGGGTTTAAATGAAGTCTAAATTCCTGATAATTCATTGTTTTTAACCCCTTAAAACTCCATAATCTGAAGTGTCCCTTAAAACTCCATAATCTGAAGTGTCCTCTCATGCCTACATTGACACTTTTATCTATTGTCCCTTTAACATCTCAAAATGCATCTTATCCTTTCAACAAAAGCCCTTTAAGGGACAGGTTTTGCAAATTATCATCCACTACTAACACCATGATACTTTGCTGTTTTCAGTTTGCCTATGTATGTATATTGTATCTGTTCCCTTTCAAATAAAAAGATAAAATAAAAAATCCTTTAGAAAATGTGCAAGCTTACCTATATTATTATGAAGGTTCTTTAACCATTAAAACTAAAAACCGGAATTCAAGCTTTAAAACATGTTTTTTCTTCAATTGAAAAAGAAATTAACATCCAAATAAAATGATTTTAAACATAAATGAATGAAGTCACTTGCAACAGTCACAGAACAACACTTCACAACAGTTCATCTCTATATAAAAAGGGTAATAAAGCAATAGTTAAATCACAATAGAATGATTTAACATGCATGTTAGCATGTTTCTGTGGGTATCCTAGTATTGATTAAGGGTATCCATTAGTACATATATCTATTTTTTGCTTCCATACGAGGGATAAAATAAATTAAAAATACTAAGGCAGATCTGAGTGGTCCCCATTCTGCACTGTTTTTTTTTTTTTTTTTTTTACAATAATTGGCAAACTTCTCTGGCATTTCCTCATTGTTGGATGTTTTCAGCACCATGGACAGCTGCCATTTAGAAATCCCTTCATATGGTCCCCGTCCCCCCCACCCCCCTCGGGCAAACAGACAGAGGCTCTCCTCTGCAGCTATTTCATGAGTAAGCAGGGGGAAGCGTCCTTTCACTCACCAGTTCATATTATTTGGTGCCGTTTCGTTTCATTGAGGGCTTGACATGAAAAAAGCGAAAAAAGCTGTTTAAATGACAGAAAAGAAAAGGCTAATTGCCTTCTTAATACATGTAGACGGAGCCTTTCATTGTTGAAGTGTACGTTAGGGGGATAATTAGGGTCCAGACTCTTGATTAGATTAAGCTGTTTTCGGTCCCCAGTGCATGGATTAAGTGCTCATTGGCCGATGTATTTGAGCGGGAAGTATTAGAGAGATCAACCTTGTGGAAAATCAGATCTTTCTTTATGGGAGCCGGTTATGACCCCATCATTGGCACAGAGCTGGATTACCTCGGGTCCAACTGGCTCCGCAGGTATTGAGCTTCTCTCAAGTTGACACATATGACATATGAGGTGCAGCGTGACCCCATCGCCCTCCAGCGCGTAACTCATATTTTTCTCCTCGGCACCCACCTCGCGGAAAAAAAAAAGGTGTTTGACTTTGGAGGCTAGACCAGGTTTGTGCTCTCGAACAACGCGGCTGTTGTTGCTTTTCACATGCTTACCAAGGTGTGACAGTGCCTTTGATTTATGGGTTATTATTGAAGCAGTGTAGCCTATCGCCAACTCATTATAAGTTTACATTCACATACATCACCGCATGCATATTGCATACAAATTTCCTAAAAAGAAAAAAATCAGGCAATTGGACTCTCTAGGGCCAGGAAACAGCAGTGATTTGTTAAAAAGGAGGAGGGAAAAAAACACACCAAGGAAACTATCAAAGAGGATTGTTTTTTGCCCTTTAGCAACCGCGCTCAGATGTCCAGTGCTCCAAAAAAAAAGAGACTAATTTAAATGTCAAGGTCAGCATTATAAATCAATTGGGGGGAAAGAGGGCACGAGGCAAGTCCAGGCAATCTATTGGTATGTCGGCAGCAAACAAAGTGCTACGCACCTTGGTGGTGGTGGTGGCGGTGGTGGTGGTGAGGTAGATGTAGGCGTCACCTGGCCAAATGAGTCGCAGAGTTTGAATATGTGTGCGCGGAACCCACTAATGGAGCGTGATGTTAATGGCAGAAGACATTAAACCTGGCTCTCTGTGTTTTCAAAAGCACCACTAATCTGTCTCCCTGTCAGCTTTTATTGAAGCAGCGGGGCTATAGGGTGTGCATCGTTCATTAGGGTGCTCACTGGCCACGTCTACCTGCAGGGCTGGGAAAGACGCGCCGCACATGTCATGGTAACGCCAGGCCCTCCCTCCCCCCTCCAGGCGTGAACCGACACACCGCTGATTATTTACGAGCCGCCATAGTTCTTTACTGCGGACCGGTTTATCTGCGATTGTGAGGGACTGCCTGCGCCGTCTCCTCTGTGGGAGCCTCTTCATATGAAATACATTGGATACATGTTATTAACCAGTGTTACTCAACCCCCGGCTCCCTCCCCCATCCAGGCAGGACCCAGGCAGAAGCTTCACCGCTCCACAGAGTCATCTCTGATTGGACGAACTGAAGTGGCCTGTGATGAATTCCCCCCAAAATATGTCATGGAGTTGAATCAAGAAGTATAAGTTCAAGGGAATGCCGATGAGAGGGGGGCGTCGCTGGGGATGAAGAATAATGGTGGATGAGTGTGTTGTGATTGCCTAGGCATCAGGGGGAGGGAAAGAGAGCAAAGGAAACGAGGGAACAGGATGTTGGGGGGGATTTAAATTGCTGGAACAGGGGGAAGCAAAAAATCTGATCGGTGTTTGTTGCGTAGTCACACACAGGCACTGGACTGATTGAAGGTTAAGTAGAAAGTTGGAGATCACATTGCCTGTCTTCTAGTCTGTGACCACGGACACTTTGTCGCACCATCGCACCGACCCCTTGAACACACCCCGATGCTTTTCACCCCACGCCCCGCCCCTTCCTCTCTGATTCACTTACAGTCGTCAGCAGAGGACACATGTACCTGTGTGACTGTCCAAAGATGGTCCCAGATACTTTTTCCAGATAGGGGTCATGCCGGGGGTTCCGGGGCCTTGGTTGTCCAGCACCATCTGCTCCATTTCACCTCAGGCAAAAGATCTGGATGTCTAGTCCTGGTCGTTCACCTCCCGTTGAATTCAACACCTAGAAACGCCCTCTACCTCTCCCCCTCCCACTGTTCTCCTCACCGCTAGCCCATTGTGTCTCAACTATGCAGAAAGCCGTGGTGCGAAACTAGTGGTATTGCATCCATTACCTGCCTCTGCTCCAAGGCTGCCCCCTCGCCAGGCATCAGGGAAGGATGCGTACAGCAAATGTGGATCCTTGCTGAGTACGGCACAAAGCAGCGAGCTGGGAAAGGGGAGAGAGTGCTCGATGAGGCGCACCTAGAAAAGATTAAATCTATTGTTTCCTTGTCGTCCCCGTAATGCATTCTGTCATAGGGAAAGCAGTGCCACGCATCTCTCTCGTAATGTATTCTGTCATAAGGTAAGCAATGCCAAGTGGAGGATGTTCTGTGAAAGTCATTTTCTCTTTTTCTTCTGTCTTTTCCTTTTTCCATAGTAACAGGGTTTCCCTACCCTGCCACAGGCGCTACGGTTGCCTATAGGGGTGCCCACTTGCGAGGTCGGGGACGGGCTGTGTACAACACGTTCCGCACGGCTCCACCGCCGCCACCCATCCCAGCTTACGGAGCGTGAGTATTACATCTCCAGCCTCGATCTAGAAAACAAAAATGAGCACTTCAGACAATTCTAGACTTTTTTTTTATTTGATTCTACTGTGCTACCACTGATTACAACCCATGTTTACCATTTGTCATACGGCTGTAATGTTAAGCGGCTGTATTCAGTACTTTAGTATAGAGAGATTAAAAAAAGATAAAGACCATTTGGGACGGGGGTTGGGAGCAATAAATTGGTTGGTTGGGATAACAAACAGGACTTTAAACCCAGAGATCAGATCCCAAATCTTGTCGGAAACTAAAAGTCATATGGGTTATGTCCTTTAAGAACATAATGCCCCATTTGCCTCATCAGTAACATAACCACATATATTTTATCAACAGATGTAAGATGCCTATCAATCGACAGCCCCCCCCAAAAAAAATCTTCTTTCTTAGCTTTGTCTGTCGAAGCACTTTGTAAACATCTTTCTTTAAAGGCTTTCTATGTGATTCTTTACACTTAAATGTAGAAATCAAGTATCTCCTCTGAAAATAACTCTGTGAGTCATGACGGGCTACAATGGGTGTAACACCCGAGTCCCACTGTCTGTGATGTTTTCAGAGTTTTCAGAGTCCTATCTTCACTTTGTTTACATCGCCGGGACGGCCGGCTGACTCCTCCCCTCGAGTATAAAAGTTGTTTAATTGAGGGACTAGAGAAAAGAAGAATAACATACTGTACTCACTGCTTAACTGTGTTTCTAGATCACGCTCATTTCAGGTAAATTTACATGCAGTGTGAAGATACCAGCATAATAAAGATCGCTAGCATTAACATGCTAACGCAACAATGCAGCGCGAGTTGTTTTGGTTTCATGCTGGTGCTCAAGGGCGACATCTGCTGGATCAAAAAATCACATATAAAGCCTTTAAAAGTGATGTCTAACTAAAGTTATTATTATTATTGTTAAGCGCCCCCCCCCCAAAAAACCTTTTACCGAAACTCAACCAAGTCTAAACTAAACCAAACTGCAACTGTTTCACATCCTCGACCATGACTTTCATGTGTTTGTCAGCACAAATATGTACATATGACGATGTGTTGAAAATATGTTATAATAAGAGGTGATTCTTAGGGTTGTATAAGTGTATATCTGTGTGTATTGCATGCCTTGTTTTGCTTGTATCATACAGGATTAGACTTCACATTGTACATTTTGGTCAAAATAGGATAAAACTCAGATCTGTCCAAAGAATACCATGGGGGTTTTTAAGGTGGTGCGCTCCATTTACTCTTTATACTTCCATGAGACGTCTTGGGGGAGTAAAATCAGTGTTTGTATCTAGGTATGTACATGCCCCGACTCTGCCCGTCCTTATTTGTACGTCGTCTATTGACAAAAGAGGAACTAACAAAGCCACAGGGAGCGCTGCACAGAGCCCAGATAGCGTATTACTGGGGCAGATCTCACTGGACTGTGACCAGGGCCTATGCTGATCCCAGGCTTTGTGCAAACCCTGCCTCACACTCGTCTCTTATCAGCAGTGGTCTGTGTGGCCGTGGGAGAGGTCTTGACGGAGGCCGGCTAGGGGCCCAGTGTAGCTGTCTATCTGTGATTAGATCAGGATCCGTCTTACTGCAGAAGGGAGACTCGCTGCTGAAGCTCGGACTAGAAAATCCCCACTTCCCCTTTCCACCCTCCCCTCCCTCCCCACTCCGGGGCCCTCTGCTTCCAATGGCAGCTGGTTGATTTATATAGCGGGGACATAGAACGCAGCTCCTTCTTTTTGTCCCCCTCCTCCCCCGTCAACCAGCAAACACCAGCCCTCTTGACAACACTGCAGCAACTAGAAAAGACAAACATTTTTTACCAGAGCAGAAAATTGGACGCGGATGTGAAGCGGTTGCACTTTTCCCTTTCAACGTGTCATTCATTATTTGTGCTACAGTACACTAACGCTGCTAAGAGCTGACCCCCACAGACCCACTTCCAATAGAAGAACCAACCAGAAAAGGCTTGGATTCAGCGGAGGGGGGGGGGGCAGGGTGGGCAGCATGTATGCCCCAAATCAACTAATGCTCCTTTCCTGTTCTCTAATTTCACAGGGTGGTGTACCAAGATGGCTTCTACGGTGCAGAGATCTATGTAAGTACAGTTGGCTTTTTCCTCGCGCCTGCTTAGATGAAACAGAAGTAAAGCAGACAAAAAGCCCCCAGCCCTGGAGACAAAAACGTGATCTCCTTAGCCCCCAGCGTTCTCCAAGCATCGCTGCCAAGCCGGCGTCGATTAGGCCTCTGTCTACTGTGCCAAGAAACCCAACAACAAAATTTAAAACCCCCTCAGCTCCTCCCTTCTCTCTCTCTCTCTCTCCCCCCTCTCTTCCTATGATCTCAGACTTTGGCATAGAGGCAAACCCAGGCTCAGTGTCCCGATGTCAAGTTAGGTCATTTCTTACTTTTGATGAGTCTGGGGTTTTTTGAGGTGGCTTGTCTTCTACAGCCCTCCCCTCATCCCCCATTATTCTTGATACCTCCTTTCCTCCTCTCTCATGTTTTTTTTTTATTTGTGTACACTCAGAGGGGTTTTTGGTTGGGATATCCCTTCTTGCCCCCAAGGGGGTCTGCGCAGGCCCTGAGTGGAGCCGGCTCCTCCCAGCCATCACCGTGTGGGAGATAAGAGGAGCGGCAGCTGATAAAGGGATTTAGCCGATCCCCTCTGGAGCTGTCCGTGCAGGCGGGGGGGTCAGATCAGGGGTCTGGCCCTTGCCGCACGTCGCCCTCGACAAAGAGAAAGCACAGACGCCGTGGAGATAATGCTGAAATTACCACGCGCTGCACCCACTTTGACATTATAGTCCAAACATTTGTGGGACGATGTAATTTGCCCCTTTTGATTCTGCAGTTTTTTTTTCTCCTCTGCACAGATAGCGAGATGACAGTTGCCTTTCACTTTCAGCCTGGGCGACGACCACTGTCTGGGGAATGAAACGCTGAACCCCAGTGATATACGACTTTACACACCAGCCCACATGATAGGACTGTATTTCACCGGGTTTTTTTATTGTAACGACATCCAGCCGCCGAAGACGAGACCCCGGCCGTGCTCTGAGTGATACTGTTTGTCTCTCATGCTCATTCAGCTCCACCTCCAGCTAAGTCCTTCTAACCCCCCCCCCCCCATGTCCCCTGACCAAAGCCCGGCCAGGTCGGCCCATCATTCAACATGTCATGCCAGCCCCATGGCGCTTTACTGCCATTAGTTCTGGCACTGGACACTGCACTGCTTCAGACTGGCTGAGAGGTGGGTGAAGGCCTCAGGTGACCACGGAGGAAGCGTCCCCTTAGCCCTCAGTGTCCTCCACAATCATTCTGTGGACACTGGCTGACTGTCAAATCCAGCCAGCTGATATGTCGAGGCATTCCTTTTGGAAATAGATCACCTCCTAAATCATTATGAGAAAAAGGATGCATACGCCTATAAATATACTCCCCATACATTGCATGTGCTTATACATATGCATGCAACCCCCTGTATAGAAACGCACATACATGAATGCACAAACGCACACATCCTCGCGACAAAATAACAAATGTGCTGCGCTGTTTGTGTGCACGATTTGACAATGTGGGAGAGTGATTTATTGGTTCCCGTGTTTGTTCAGGCTGTTGCTGTAATCAGCGCAGTCCCAAGGCATGGCTGTCCCATGGCTGTCCCATGGAAGTCAACTGCCTGACTTCCTGTCTCCATCTCCATGGAAAAAACCTTATGGGGAAATTCAATCGCTGTGGCCCCCTGACCTGATTTCATGTGCAGCCACAGTTACAGTTACCTCTCCATTGGACGTCACCCCCCCCCCCGCTCCCCTGAGTTTAAAAATGAATGAAAACATGCATTATTAAAAGCCACCTATCCAACGTATGGACTCAGATGGGCACACACTCCGCTGGCACTAATAGAAAAAACAGTGGGAGAACGGCTTCATTTTTCAAAGAGAGTAATAGCAGCACTCCAGAATGAGGTCTTTAATTCCTTCCCCACTCTGGCAAATGAATACAGCGGTCCTGACTCCCCAATGGTCTGACCGTCTTCCCCCCCCTTCTTACTTCATTTGTTAGCCAGGGGGGTCGTATAAAAAGAAAAAAAAAAAGAGGGTCTCTTCAATAATGAAGCAGCAGAACCTCCTCAATCTAAAAATGGGTTGAATTCGGGGGAGTTGGCTCACATGGCCTCTGTTCTTGCTGTTGCTGCTACTTTGGACGAGCCTCTCAGAACATTACTCATTCCCCCCCGCTCGCCTCGAACACCATACATCAAACAGCACCCTCTGGTGTCTGAAAGGGGTCCTGCAGTTTGGGTAAAGTGGGCTGGTGATCAACATACTGTGCAGTGACATTTAACTATTAAGGCAATTTAAAGCTCTGTGTGTGCATTGTTGTTCCTCTGCATCTCTCAGATCTAACCTTTCTCTGAGCAGGTTGAGCTTCATCATTGATTAACACTCTGCTATTTTTACAGGGCGGCTATGCAGCATACAGATTTGCCCAGCCCACCACCACCGCTGCTTACAGTGACAGGTGAGAATCCTTCTCATTTCACTTTGGATCTTTTTTTTTTTTTTTTTAAACCAGCATTCTCTCAAGAAAATGAAATGAATCTCAATGTGCTCTTCAATGATTTAAAGACTTGTGGAAAGAAGATCAAACTAATAATTTATTCCAATCCAATCCAATCCGACTTTATTTGTTAAGCACTTTAAAACAACCACAGTTGACCAAAGTGCTGTACAGAAGAATAAATAAAACATGTAACAGCTCACACAGATAAAGAAAACTACATGTGAAATACAGAATCAAGTTAAAAGACATAAAACATAAGTAAAAAATGAATAGGCACGCAAAAAAAATAAAATAAAAATAAGTCGATGTCTTTATCGATATTTATTGAATGTGTTTATTGGTTATCCTAATTTTGTACACATTTTCTGGTGAAAATGTTAAATGTTTCCCATCTTAACTGTGCACAAGTTTAGTTTGAAAATAATTAAAGGGGCGTCTCGTATTGACGCCTGTCTCACTACTATTGGAAGATTAGATTAGATTGATGTCACATTAAGACTTCAAGCACAGCTCTAAAGAAGTTTCATATAAATGAAAAAACATCTGACATCCAAATATAATGAGCGAGAGCTTCTTTCCACAATTTCCCAGTTTGGGATCAATAAAGTAATTCTGTTCTATTCTATTCTATTCTATTCTATTCTATTCTTAAGCTGCCTTTTTAGCTGGAGTTCCACCCATTTGCAAAACTTTCATTGGGCAGTATAGGCAGAAAAAAAAAAAAAAGTAATTCTGACAAAAAAAAGGAGTTGAATGAATCATAAACAATCATATGAATTAATATGAACATCAACCAAAAGGAACAAGTTCATCCTGCAGGCTGTCAAGTAGAGAAAATAACAGAGTGAGAGATTAATAGATGAGGAGGACTGAAGGACGAGGAGTAGTCAGAACACGTTACAAAACGAGTCTTTGCCAACGGTTACTGGAGACTGTTCTTGTATATGATGAATGTGGGGCTGCCACATTAAGATTTCTCTACTTTCAAAAAGGTTTCAAGGGTTTTTTTTTCTTCCTCTACAGTTATCTTATCTATTAGGCAAACCCGCCATATTCCTTTTTAGCTCGGAGCTAAAATACATAACAAAAAAAAGGACTAACCTTGTTGGACTGGATGAGAAAAGCGATGATATATGTCGTGACTCTCTGCTTGTGATGGGAGAGTGGGTATATCACTGCGGTATTTATGAATGGCCTCAGGTTCTGAGCGAGGGGAGGTAAGGAGAGAGGAGAGAGGGAGAGAGAAGGAGAGATGGACCGGCAGGGACTCTATCACTTCTGAGTGATGTCACTCCGGTTCAGGTGTGCTACGTTTGAGGAGGCGGCGCTGATTCATTCGGGGCCCCTGAAAGCCGTTGTCAGCCGGGGATGTGGGCTGGTTTGGGAATCTAATCTGGGAAGGATTGAGCATGTCACTTGTGATAACGTACACCCTGCCTGAGAGCCTGAAGATCATATCGATAATGTAAGATTTATCAGGCCACGCCGCGGCTCGAATTATGAGCAGCCGTGCTCGGCGAGAGCAGAAATTGGACAGCAGCTTTTTTCTCTCTCTCTCTCTCTCTTTCTCTCTCTCTCTCTCTCTCTCTCTCGAGTGATTTAATTCCAGTTTCTCCTGCCTATACTTTTCCCTGAGATTTAATGTAATTCGCCCCCAAGTTGTTTGTTTTTGCTTTGTCTGTTTGTTTCCCTTTTTGAATAAAGCGGTCACGCCCGTTGGATCAATAGGGGGGGTTTTGTCGGTATTGTCTCAGCAATACCTTATCAGACTTAACCGCGGAGCCGTCAGCCAATCATAAAATGAGGTCAGCGGGCTTGTGAAAGGCGTGTGAAAACGCTGCAAAAAAATATGAAACATTTATTATCTGAAAAGCCGACGTTGCTCACAGGCTGCATTTCCAAAGCCCTTAAAGTAACTAAACAAGAGTTCATACCCGAGAGTCTGATGCATTAAAGAGGACTGTGTAGAGCTGGACATGTTGTATAAGTAAAGTAGCAACGTTACCAATTTGAACTACATTTCTCTGCAGCCAGGTGGTAGAGTCGCCGCCGCCACCAACATGTACAGATGTCGACAAAGTTAGCGACAGACTTCTGTTGAACATCACTTTCCAATACTTCAGCTGCTGACTACAAAAGTCTTTACCGCAGGGAAACATACGTGATGAAAAGGAAACACCTTCAGGTGATTCCAGAGTTGGTTAGTCCAACCGAACAAGCAACTAAGCTAGCTAACAATTCAGTACAGTGTGCTAATCACAGCTAGTCGTTTGACGAGCTAAATAGTCTGATGGTTTCAATGTTTGCTGGCAGGGAAATAAGTGAAGCATTGAGAGGTTGGAGGGCTGCAGAAGTCAAAATTAAGCAAATAAATATCGAACACATGAGAGGAAACGGGTAAAAAGTCAATGTAACACATGCCTGTTAACATTTGCATTCTGACTTGACCCTGAGACGGTACAAGAAAAAAACATCCATCAGAGTGTTTGTTTGAACCTGTGCTACATAAAGGAAATCCCTAATTTACTGAAATGACTTGGATGAGGTTGGTTTGATGTGAAGCAACAACAGAATAGAAATGCTTTGATGATGTAGTGCGCTACTCGCTTTAGCTTGCTACTTTCCTCTGGCAGTGTACCGGAGCATCATTGAAGTAGCTGGTAGATTAGCTCACCACTGTAGTTTTACACTGAATTGGTCACCACAGGGGGCCAGTCACATTTGTGGAGAGTCCCTGCCGACGTCCAATCGGCTCTGTGGAGGCTCTGTGACATTGCACAGGGTGGTTTGACCTGCCGCTCATCAGCGGTGCCACTCTGTCGAGAGTCATTTTGTAGATATATTAGCCTTCGAGGGCCTGTGGGGTTCGGTGCTCACAGAAGATAAGAGGACCACAGAGACCCCCCCCCCCCGACCATCTCAACGGCACCGACCTCCCCCCCCCCCGAAGGAGCCGAGGCAGCCCTTTCCCCATTTCACGTCCTGCTCACTGACCTTGGCTGAGCCGGACTTAAATGGGCCGAGCCACATTTTCGATCTTATACGACTCGACGGTAGCTCATTCGAACTGCATGTATGTTATGTAGCCCTCCTTTAGGAGAATTTCTTCCTCTGTCTCCTCCTCTTTTTTTTTTTCTTTTTTTTTTATTCCTGGTTGATTTGGTGCCCTCAGTCCTTGGCTGGTTGCGCCTTATCTGCTCCGTGCAGACCCTCATTTGCAAGCAAGCATTGAGGGGGGGGGGGAAGCAAAGTAAATAGAGGAATATGTGAAGTCGAGTAAATAAATAAATAAATAAAGCAGACACATCTTGTCCTGTCTCAGAAAGAAATTGGAAGGATTAGTTCCGAACCAGCAACAATGAAAAGACAGGGGGGCGTGAGCCCAGTGTGCAGCCCGGGTAAACAAGAACAGGGTGAGAGACCGAGCCCTCCAGCACCAAACGTGTTCCCTCTCCGCGTCCTCTTTTCTCACCGTGCGCTCATTACTTATGCCATCCAGCCAATCAAGATGACAATGAGAAGACAAGTATAATTCGCCCACCTTTGAACTCCCCTTTTTGAACCACCTTGTATAATGCAGGAAGCCCAGGAGGCCGAGGAGGGAAATAATTGATCGTGTTAGAGACTTGAAAGAGTCGACTAGAGGGGGCTTGAGCATTAAACAAGCATGCATAAATGTTCTGCTCTCCTTGTCAATGATAGATCAATGACTTGTGTTCTCTCTCTCTGTGCTAACCCCCCACCCCCCACCCCCCCCCCCCCGTTGTGCAGCTATGGCAGAGTCTATGCAACAGCAGACCCCTACCACCACACGATTGGCCCTGCAGCCACATACAGTGTGGGGACTATGGTGAGTGTATAACAAAACAAAAAAAAAACGCCCCTCTGTTTCAGTCTGCGACCTCACAACACAGCACGCACACACACACACACACACACACACACACACACACACACACACACACACGCACACGCAAACACACACACATACACACTCCAAAAATAAAGACCAGAGGCCGCAGCGGTCACTGGTTTTTATTTATGTATCTACTCATTAATCGATTTGGTTTTGTCATGCTCTCTGGCACCCCCTAGTGGAGCTGAGCAGTACCAGAACCCCCCCAGCATGTTGGCTAAAACATTTAGTGCAACAAAGTTATGTTATGCCATGCAAGCTCACCCCCCCACCCACCCATGTAATATATTTTTGACTTCCCCACTGAAATGAGAATGAGTGATTACTGCAGTGTGTTGTTTTTTTTTTTTTTTAACACAAACTTTGCATCTTATTTAACATTTCCAAAAGCTTTCTGTTCATTCTACATCCCCCCCCCCCATTCAGACAAACCAAACTTGAAGGGATGGAGTTGAATTGTTAATGTCTGTTTTTAGCTAGCTTTTGCAGCTACTGTAACATCAAAGATGAAAAAGTGAATAAATAAAGGAGCATCTTTAAAAAAAAAAAACAGAGAGAGAGTTTCTCTTTGGTTTTTTGTTTTTTATGACGATGAGGGGACGGGACCGGGCTCGCAGACCAAAAACCTGGAGATTAAGGACCATCAAACGCATGCAGCAGTGTGCCGTGGGACATAAAAGAGAGAGAGCGAGAGACAGAGAGAGAGAGACAGAGAGAGAGAGAGCAAGACGAAGGGAGGGGAGTTGTCTCGCCCTCCCTCCCTCCTCCTGCCCACGAGCTTGGTGCGAGGCGTGCTCTCTGCTTGAGAAATGACTCAAATTTACCATTCCGGCATGCATGCGATTTTTCAACAACATAAAGCGTACAGTTCCCCGGTGCAGCTGCTAGCTAAAAGCTTTCATTAATTAAGACATTTCTTTTTCCTCTTCATTTACTTAATTAAAAAAATGTGCTTGAATGTTCTATTTTTTTTATTTTTTTTATACTTTCTTCTTTTTTCCTCCAAATTTCCTTCCATTTCTCTGACACTTTGCTCGTCCTCTTGATCAAAGTCAAAGGCAGGATTTGCCCCCCCCCCTAAAAATATCAGAGCTAATGCTGTGTGTGTTGGGAGCTCGGGGAGCTAACACAGACTCCAGAGGATGTGTGTGCTCGTGTGTGTGTGTGCGCTTGCGTGGTGTTGAACAAATGGCGAGGCCACTGGGAGCGGGGCTGTTCCGAGGGCCGACACAGAATCAACTCATGAGCTAAAAGAGAGTCGACCAGTTTGGCTCCCTAATTCTTTAATCATATTTGATTAATGGTTCTCCAGCAGAGAGGAGTCTTTTTTTTTTTGCATTTAAAAGCTATACAATAATTAGTTCCTCTGAGGTTGGAAAATTCTCTTTACTCACTCCTAGCGCACAGAAGCATCTCAAACGGATGAAAGTTTCATACGGAGCAAGAGGGCTCCCCGAAATTAGGCAAAATTAGCCTTTGAAGACATTCAGTAGCCTTTGGAGTTTGTCTGAATTCTTAATTGCAGCAGAGCCACTGAAAGATGAGAGGAGGGCTGAGTGTGTGTGTGTCTGTGTGTGTGTGCATGTGCAGGTGTGCATGCATAGGCCCACTTGCATGCTTTATTCTGTGTGTGTGTGTGTGTGTGTCTGCCCTAGATATCTCGAGCATGGTGCTAAATCTAAGGGCTAATATCCTGTGGAGGTTCACACCCCTCCAGAAAAGGTGCAGACACCTCCGCTAGACATGAAAAGGAGCTGTGATTAAACCTCTCTGAACTTATTCCGCTGCAGTCGAATCTCTGATATTGTATGAGCCTGAAAAAAAAGAAAAAAAGAAATGGCTTTTCCCTCAAGGAAAAAAAGGCACAAAGCTCAGAAGTGATTTAATTTATTCCGCAGTGTTATTAATTAGAAAAAGCTCAGGCCCGGTGTTTCTATGACTTTATTGTTTTTCAAGAAAATGCTCTTTTTTTGCGTCAAGCGATCCCCACCTTAACTCCTGCTGACCCTGTTCCTAACACACACTCTGATTAGTGGGCTGGAATATTTCAAAGTATCAGCCAAACCATAATATGGAAATGACAAGACGATAACTACATGGATTTAAAAAAAAAAAAAAAAAGGAAGGAAATTTGTGGAGAAAGAGAAACGGACTAAAGCTGTCGCCTGAATACTGATTGGTACTTTTTCATCTTTGATGTTGCAGGCTAGCCTATACAGAGGAGGGTACAGTCGCTTCACTCCCTACTAAAAGAAAGAAAAAAAGTCGAGAAAAGACAGAGACATTTCCCCCAACAAACAAACAAAAACAATCTAAAAAAAAAAAAAAATACAAACACAAAACAAGCCGGTCCTCGGTGGAGAGCTAAATCAAACTAAAAGCTTCCGTGGTGCCCGTCCTGAGCCCCCTTCCCTGACACCCTCTCAAGCCGATATTTCTACAACAAGCCCGATTTGATGTCATCATTGTTCTGCTCTTGTTTTTGTATTCATTTTGTGCTTTTCTTTTGGAAAGTTTTTCTTTTTCTTTTTTTTTTATGCATTATCTTGATTGCTGTATCTGGGTGCTGTGTCACCATAACCAATGTGAGCCTACTGCAGCACGCATGATGCATGCTCAGAGGTGTGTGTATGCAGCCGCTGTCTTCTGAATAAGAATAAACCTGGGCTTTTTTTTTTTTTAAATGATTCACATCCATACAATGAGGAACAGAAAAAAAAAACCCAGAGGAGTCTGATCAGGTTTCTACTGGTCAGTAATCCATCCTATAGCTCATAATCCACTATCTTCCATCTAGCGTTCAGAGACTCGCTGATGAACATGCCTCGGTGATTCTTAGCTCAAAGACGGCGCTGCTCTGATTGCTTTTTGTTTTTTCCTTTTAAACGTTGGAGTGTCCTACTGTTGTGCACTTGCAGTGGAGCCTCACCAGCTGTACTGTGTGGTTTGACAGCATGCAGAGTTTAAAAAAAGGGTCACAAAGGTCAGATTTCTGTTCTGTACTCACAACACTCATACTCCAGCCGCGTCTCCTGCAAATTTATGACACCTGAAATGCAAATTTTTCTGCAACGACAGGGATGATTATGGGGTGGGTTGAAATCATTAAGCGACATAGTTTGTAGTGTTTTTTTTACAAGAGAGGTATAGAGCAATGATTAGAGAGTTCTTCCACTAGCAGAGCTGCTGATCTTTGACCTTTAGCGTGATAACAACGTCATGCAGAGTAGATTTATTTGTTGTGAATTTTTTTATTTGAATTTCCGGGTGTGCCCTGCAGCAATCCAAAAAAAGAGCGAACAAGACATAAACATGTTTTATCAAAAGCATCGGTACAAATACCTTACATTATAATTAGGGAGGAGCAATGGAACCTGGTTCTGTTAAGGACCTGGTTTTGCGTTTGTTAAAACCTGAAAACAAACGTTTTAGCTTATCGATGACTGCTATCGAGTCAAGTGGCTCCTACAATGAAACGTTTATGTATATTGTCGCGTCATGTACATTAAATGAAGTGCAAAGAGGTTTAAAGTTTGGCTACTAAAGAAGAAGATAGAGAAGAGGCGAAATGCAATTTATGCACTTGCAAGGAGGTGGGACACAACCGCCATGTCAGCATTGTCCATCAAATCTCTTAGTTGTTAGTGTTAGTCAAAGACACCACCTTTAACTTTGACTTATGATACTTACTTATTCGTAGAAATATGCCCGACAGCGTGCAGGAGTTTCTTTGAATGCCCCCCTCCCCCTCCCCTCCCTCCCCCAGAAATGTAATTGCTAAATGCAAATAGTTGCATGTGAACTTAATTTGCTGGAGACACGGTTGCATATCCTCACTAATACACCATGGCAGATAAACTACACTCAAGGTGCACTGGAACACACTCCACATTTTCCACATTAACTCTCTCACACACACACACACGCGCACACACACACACACACACACACACACACACACACTAATGACACAGCACTACGGTTGGGGGGAACCTAACAGAGGGCTCTTTCTGCTACCAGTCACCGGTCTCTCTTTTTTAAGCATTGCACAAAATATTTTTAACCTCAGGATAAGCTAACTGAAACTCACAAAGTAGAAAAACAACAACAACAACAACAACAACAACAACAACTGTTCACTCCTCAGCAGGCAGCACAGTTTTGATTTCTAACACAACCAGCAGGTTTTTTTTTCTCTGACCTCTTTGCAACACAGTTTTCTAAAGGAGCTGACTTTCATTTAAGCCGAGACCCCGAGAGAGGACGATAAAAAATGAGACTGTACTGTTGTTCTTATTAAAGCTAATGTATTATATATATATGTAGACATATACTGTATGAAACTGTTTCGACCACATACACACATGAGAGCAGTAAGCTCTAAAAGCACCCAGGAGTTTGGAGACAGGAAGTAGAATGTGTGCAGCAGCAGTGGTTAGCTTCTATTACAACGTTGTGCTATACTCAAGGCGGAGAGGACAAAATCTCTGCGTTAGCTACAACTAGCTGTCCAGATATCCGTGCAGCTACAGACTCAGAGCTATTGCCGATAATACTGAATATCCTCACAGAAGTTTGTGGTCTCCAAAAGAAAAAAGTTTGTTTGTTGCACTTTATCAGCCTTTTTTTTCCCAAATCCTTTCAGAGATGTAACATATTTATAAAAGTATCATATACAGCTAGTTTATGTTTAGTCGAGATGTTAAAAAGATATAAAGTCATGTTGTATATTTAAGAAAAAAAAAAAGAAAAGAAGGAAAATGAATCCTCGCGAATCGAAGGAGAAACTTAATGTGGGGAAACAAACATTGTTCTTCCTTTTCTATGCTAGTACGTACGCAGCGTTTGAAGTTTTTATATGAGTCTAAAGAAACTTTTGAGTTTGATTTGTTTTCATTTTCAAACAGGTGAAGGGTTTTTTTTTTGTTTTGGGTGTGAACTCTGAGTATTCATGAGCGGGCGTTCAGGTAGTGAGCACGTTTAGCGAGCTATACTGGAATGGAAGAGGTTTTTTTTCCTGATGTGTATGTGTGCGCCTATGTGCTTTATATTATATGCATTAGAATGTGTGTGATAGAGAGAGAGAGAGAGAGAGAGAGAGAGAGAGAGAGGGAGGAAGAGGAAGTGAGTGCAGTTAGCGCACACAGTGTGGTTTGCAGTAAGCTAACAGTTTGACATGACTTCACTCCTTCGCCCTGTAATAACATGACATCGTTTGACCTCAGATACAACAAAAAACATTTTTATATACTTTAATCTGATTTTCTTCCACTATAGTAAAAGACTACTTTGACCATTTGTTGTCATTAATGACAGTCTAACAGAGCAAGCCTCCTGTGGACAGGTGTTGAGAACTAGCATGTATGCTAAAACACTTAAAACAATGCATCTGGTATGTGTGATGTCCATGCCAAATAAAGTCTTATCTATGTGCACACACAAACATAAAGGGCTGATCATTCTGCAAGAATCTGACCATACCATAAATATGTACATCGTGACAAAATTGTCTTTTGCTCGAGCTGCAGTCACCTGTGTTCTGCTTTGTTGTGTTAGCAGGCTAATGTTAGCATACTTTAGTTAGCTCGTAGCTTCATATTGCACATAAATTGACACAGAATGACTGTGATGTAAAGACACTTACATGACATTTAAATAAGCAGCGAGTGAGATCTTCTTCTTTTCTCTAGTCCTTGACTAAAACAGCTTTTTATACAAGGCCGTCCCGTCCATGTTAACACAGCGCCGACAACAGTACAGCTAGCAGGACTCGCGCTTCTCATTGTAGACAGTCATGACTCAGAGACACATTTACAGAAGATATTTTCGCTGTATTTATGTGTGAAATGTGGCACATTCTTCCTTGAAGGACCTCTCAGATTCCAAACATATTCCCAAAAAAGCAGTTTAATTGTGCTTCCAGACGCTCAAAGACCTGCTAAGTGAAATTAGCGTGCTAATGTGGAGGTTTCTGGACGCCTCCTACTCTGCTGTCATGTTGTTACAGGGGGACGGGTTTGAGATCTGTGTGCATGGGGATCGTGTCAAGTTTACAGAAGAAGTTCAAACGAGGCATTGTTAAAACTGTTTCAGTGTCAGCTTACCAAGGCTTCAACGTTAACGATGTAACAATGTAAATAACTGCTAGTCAGTATTGTAGAGGTCTGAGCCGTCATAATTACGCTAACAGTGAGTCTAACGTCATTTTGAATGTGAATTTATATTTAAAAAAAACGAAAACTCTTTGATATTTGATTTGTTTTGCTTTCGTTGTATTCCATAACCAGCTTAATATGCAACCAGACCTCTTTATCGACCCGAAAACATTCTGTTAGTTCGTAAATAGTCGTATTGAGAAATGTTTACATATTCCGCAGAGAGTAGTCTTTATCTATCCATTATATTGAATACAAGTATCCACTCAGCCCTGATAAGCTGGCAGGTGCATTTATTAAAAGATTTGTACAAAAGAGAACCAAGCAAAAAAAAAGTGACAGTACCTGTACATACATTTAAATGTATATACACACACACACACACACACTCTATATCGCTGACTAACTGTTTTATATGTATTCCTATATGAAGTGGGGTTATCTGTGTGTTTTCAATTCAGCTGAACTTGTTCTTGAATTGTATGTACTTTCTATATTGAGAATATATTGTCTGAGAGGTGTAAAGTAAATTTTCCTTTGGATGAATTACCTCATAGGTTTCAGTAAAAGCATCATGATGTTTGATTTATCCATGTTTTTTTATGTTTCAGTATGTGACCTATAAGTAACCTCTGATTGTTTTGAGTGTCAGAATAAAGCAGTTATAAGAACATCATGTCTGTTTTCACACATGGATGTCGTCGCTGATTTGGGATTATTCAACTATGATGTGATGTGGGATTGATTTTTTTTTTTTTTGGGGGGGATGTTGATTTTCTCACTTATTCCCCAGTGGAGGTCCGGCCATACAGAGAGCTGCAAAATGGGAAGAATGCTATGGTGGCCGTGAGAGGTCAATGCAATGTGACAAAAAAAAACAACTAATACCACACACGACAGCGTTGTGGGCTGACACATAGAGACCAAGCAGTATCCTCCGGTCTTGAAAAATGAAGCCAAATGCGGAAGTGCAACATCATGCAGTTCCTCGAGTGTCCACTAGATGCTGGCTCCAGGAACACAGGAAGTCACATACACACCACATGCAAAAAAGACGTTTTTACAGCATTAATAAACATGTTTACAGCCTGGTTAGAAAACGAAATAGGTCTGATTAGTTATTGTCAACACTGGCACACACTGCACTGTTAGGCGCATAGCTGAAGTGATTGACAGGTGGGCGGGATGTAATAGTTTGTCAAGAGGCTTAAAACCTGCCTCAGCTCCAGCTCTCAGCCTGTCGTTAGGTCGACTTAAAGTTAGACTGAGACAGCATTTCCAGCGTGGTGGCTGCTGCTGATGAGCCTCGGAGGCCCCCTGCAGGAACAGATGGGTGACGTCACTCAGGCTTCGTCCATCAGTATTTACAGTCGATAGAGACAGACACACAACTCTGCAATTTAAAGTCAATTTAGAGAAAAAATAAATCTTAGGAGCACACACCTGAAAACAGAAAAGCATCATTCTCTGTTTGTCTCAGTACGAGCAGGTCTAAGTAGAACGAGGCATCTTTTTGTATCTGGGTGACCCCGGCCCTTTAACGGGCTTAACTTTTAATTACTAAAGATAGACTTGTTAAAACAAACTGTGACTGTAAGAAGCAGAGACTGTGATGCCTAAAGTAACCCTCCCCCTGAATCCTTCATGTCCGCGGGTGATTAATATATTTGTCTCTGCAGCCCTTTGAGGTCTGCACCGCCTGTCAGAGAGGACTATATGTAGCTCCGGCGCTATTGTGCTCCCTCCCCGCTGAGCTATAAGGCTGCGTGTGGATATTTTTGTATGGTCGGGTCCCTAGCGAGCGCTCAGTAAATCTGAGGTATAGAATAGATAGGGGGAGGTGGCGAGGGCAGCTCCTGTATGAGAACAGATAGAAACAAAGGGGGGGACAGGGTGGACGCTGATCGAGCACGCCACTGGGTTGAGTGTCAGTCTCTCTGGATTGGAAGTTGGGGTTGGAGGGGGGGGGATAGGGGAGCGGGGTGGAGAGTAACTCTCTCTACAAAGGCAAATTAAAGCCTCGTCTTCTTTCATTTCTTAATTTATTTATTTTATGTCAGAGGCTCCGCAGAGCTGCCGGAGATCACTCTGAATTAGCGAGCATCTGTCATGACGAGGGTCCCGGGATGCTCGCCTCGCCTCGCCTGCCCCCGACACCCACGCACCCACCAACGCAACACCCCACCCCTCCATTCTCTTGCTTCCATCCAGCCCCATTACTCTGAGACTTTTTTTTTTTTTTCTTCTTCTTCTTCTCTCTTTGCAGTGCCAAAGTGCCGATCTCCACTCGTATGATTACAGCACACTCTGATCTTTATTCTGGGGAGAGCGGGTAGCACCGGCTTTGGCAGGCTGAGAGGCCTCTGCTCTCGCTTCTGTTATGTCGCATTATACAAGAACGGGATGAAAAGTGAATGAAGCTGTTGTCTCTCTCTGCTCTCCAACTTTCCGCAGCCGAGTTGGAAGAATTGTTTCCTTTCAACTGTGCTTGACTCCACTGGCTTGTTTTAACATATTGTGAACTTTTTCCCATCATCACAGAGACTTTTTGGGGTAGGGGGAACTTTAAAAGAAAGTGTTGTTTTTTTTCATACATTATCCCATATGGGTTTTTTTTTTTTTTTTTTTACTCAAAGAATGACTTCTTTCCTGCCTATATTTTCTGTGACACTTCCTGAAAACTTGTTCAGAAACTTGCCCTAAGCTTGCTCCACATAGACGTGTTATAGCACCTCTCATTATGTATGCCTATCAGAAAACATCACCTGCTGCATATTTACCAGTCTCCCCGCTTTTCTCCCCCTGTTTCCAGTAAATACAAAAGGAAGAGCTGTACTCAGTATTGATGGACATCACAGATGAAAACAACGAAGGGAGGAGAACTAGCTTTAAGAAAATAACACAAGAAGAAGACGAGAAGGAGTCCCTCTACTGAGGCTGGCGAGGGAATGACGGGAAGGCGTACAAAGTGGCGCCGCCGCAGCGGTGTCAAAAACCAGCCACAAACTTGACAGACGGAGTGAGCCAGTTTCCACCAGGGACCACCTTTTTGTTGGGTAGAAAAAGACAGAGAGAGAATGAAAAGTGTCCCGTTATTATAAAACATTTTATTTTTCTATACTTTTGTGATTTACAATGGTAAAAAGTGTGTATAAAGCAGTATATATGTACAAATCTGTTTTTATGTTTTTTGGTAAGGGGAGATGAACAGTTGGCCCTTGATGCTGATTCTGTGGTATGCAGGAAGGAGGAGGGAGAATCCCCCCCTTCTCTCTCTATGGCACACTGCTCTGTCGCCTAAGGTTGTGTATAAAAAAAAAAAAACATGAACAGAAAAGGTGGCAAGGAGAGCTCGGCATCCAGGCAGACGCACTTTCTACGCTGTACTTCCTGTGGGTGGAGTCAAAGGTCAGCCTCCTGGTCTCACTGCTCCGCCTTCTTCCTTCCAACCTCCCTGTGACCTCCTTCCTGACTTAACTTCCTTCCTTTTTCTGGGCCGGTGATGTCGCACCTTCCCCCTTCCTCGTTGCGGTGTCACTGACCGGCAGCGCCTACTGTTAGCAGCGTCCCTTGTGGATACTGTCGTGATGTCACTTTCTCCTGGCAGCACCATTGGGCATCCCCGCCCTCCCCAATGGGCAGCGTCATTGGTTTACAGCATTGGGGAGTTGGGGGGGGTGAGCCACGGCGGGACGGTGAGACGGTATACAGCCGAGCACTCCCCGGTCTGCCCCTCTCCACGCCCCAGCAGAGGTCAAAGACTACGGACTAGTTAAGAGAGAAAAACGGTCGCAGAGGTCGCCGACTTTCCTCACCTGCCAGACTCCGAGCCCAAGCCTTTGTGTCACTCTGCACCGACGGACAAAAACGTTCAGATCGACGTGAAAAACAAGGTGCGTACAACTTACCAAGGATGCACGTTTCCACCCTGACGAGAATAACTCATCGACGTCCATGTAACAAATTGAAATATACTCGAATTATCCCATTGTACTACATCAGCAGGTGCATAACCAAAACACAAGCCTGAGGCATAAATAGACTATGTCGCTAGATAAAACATTATAGAAATACAGTAGTGCCCATCCAACGGTAACAAGGAACGAGGGCTGAAATATGTCAAATTCTTTTGTCAATGTATTCTGAGAATATTTATTTGTGTGTTTTTAGTTTTTTTAGTTTTCTGTTTTGTTTTGTTTTTTGCAGCACTGAAAACTTTTAAAGAGGAAAAAAAAATTTGGTGGAAGAGGAAAAATTCTTTATATCAGGAGAGTCACTGTAAACGTGTTTTAAAAACGAGAATGTTGGTTCAGTTCTTTGAATGTACATTAATGTCTAGGGTGTCCAATAAGTATGTATTCTTTTTTCTGTATATAAATATATATACATATCTATTATATGGGCTGTGGTGATGTCAGGGAGTAGAGAGGGGGTGTGGGCAGGAAGCCTCTGCCCCCCGAACATAGATATCAGACCCCCCCCTCCCCACCCCCCTCCAACTAAATATGTCCCTGATATTTACTGTAACATGTGATCATGTGTTATATGATTGAAAGTGTGATGGTGATAGTGTGAACTGATCTACCCCCCCTCCCCTTCCCACCAAAACCTCCTTCTTTACCACACAAACAAACACAGTTCTAGATCTTTTTATTCCCCCCTCCATCAAATGCAAAACGCCATCCTCCTTTTTTTTTTCTTTTTTTTTTTACCCCACAGACACTTCAGGAAAAGAATCGGTAATCCGGCCCTTCGTTGGCGCTGTGGAGACTTTGCTAATTAGTGTTAGGTGTTGTGGGCGTCAGATAAAAAGTTTATGAATATTGATTTTTTTTTTTCTTTTCTCACTTGAACCAAAGTATGATTTGAAACACACAGTCTCAGCGCTCTTTGATCAGGAGACAGCGAGACTCTGTGATGACGGCGGAGCCCCGGATGTGTATTGACGTGACCCAGATTTCATTCGCTCATCACCGCAGAGGAGGAAGAGCTCGCTGTTCTAATCTAACGAGCCCACCCCCCCTCTCCCTCCCCTCCCCTCCCCCTCCCCCGTACTGATGAGGCCGAGCTTCCTGCAGCAGCCTCGCTTTATGAACCGCTGTTTCTCATGCTGACCCTGGTGGGCGGGCGGTTTTATTGCATATTGGGGAAGGAGAAAAAAAAAAAACCTGCTGGCCCTGAAAAGAAACTTTTCTTTTTTCATGAGGAGGCGAGCAGGTTCAGGTGAAGCACAACTTTGTTTGAGAGTTCAGGGTACACTACTGAGCTGGTAGTGGTTTTTTTTTTGTGTGAAATTGCTCCAAGAGGGAAACACTCGGTTTAAGCTCCTGACTTCCTGTACAAAAACTGCAGTGTGTACTGTTAATATGCTGTACAGTAAATCTCACCTCACACTTCTTGAGTAACTTCATCTTATTTCAGGTTATATAAAAAAAAAAAAAAAAAAACTTGTTCTGAATCAGGGCTCCTACCCACGCGACCTCTGTTCATCTGTAGACAGCTTCTCATATATTACAAAGAGTATCTATATCATGGCAACTAACTGTTGTGAAGTCTAATTGGGGTAAAGTCGGTCATTTGTTCTCCCATGCTGCGATCATGTGCAGGCTTAGCATTTCTTTTTTTTTTTTTTTTTTTTTTTATATATACCTGTAGGTTTGTTTCTGAGAGTCACATGATTCATCTGGCCTACTTACAGACTCGTGGTGGGTCAGAAACGACTCGGGAGCAGGTTGGAGTTTTTTTTACTCTTGACGGGGGAAACTTACTGGGAGGCGGAGCCGCTCTGGAGGCAAAAAAAAATCAGCTTAGCGGTCGAGTTAATTGACAGAGATGAAGAACCACAGTTTTAATTTTGATTTTTTTCTTTTTTTTTCTTCTGGGCTAACAAGCTTTAAGGTTTGGTTACACGCTCTGATTTCATCCACTGAACAATCTATGCACTTCACAACCAAAACTGATATGATGTCACACGTGCTAGGCAACTGTTATCTCTTTGTTTTAATAGGTTTGTAGTTTGTTTAATCTTAGGCAATAAGGTTGAAATCACTCCTTCTTTTTGTCAACTTAACCCATGAAAAGACTTTAACAATGTGTTAGCCTACCTATTTATGACTTCCCTTTTATGACTCCGAAGCAGCTTACAGATAAATACATTAATGGATTTAAAAAATGAAGTACTTTCTTTAAGTTGGATTCTGTTTTTTTTTTTTTTTTACAAACTGATTTAAAACTAAATGAAACGGTGCATTAGTTCGGGACTATTTCCAGCGGCGGATTAATCCTCATTTGGTGCTCAGTTGAGAAATTGACCTTTGGAGGGCTAAACCTGTGATATAACGATGGCCACACCTCCATTACACAAATCAACCATTAAAAGATTAACACTTAAGTTTTTCCTCCAATACTTTACTCACTTTTTAAAAGGATACAATCTCTCTTATTTTAATGATTGACCTGTGAATGAAATAGTGCAAAAGAGACGAATGGGTCGATCAAAAATTGCAGGCAAACTCCTGCACACTGTCTGAAAAGTACAAATAAATTGACAACGTTTTTGTAGGGCTTCCTATTGAACATTCTGTACAAAACTTCTTATATGGCTTAGGTACAAATTCAGTAAAACTTTCTATTCTCCAAAAACGTTGAGTAGGAGAAGAATTAGTTTATCCTTAATTGCAATGCAAACCATAAATCCCAACGGCGCCAATGTTATTTGTGCGAGTTTGACAGTGTGCAGGAGTTACTCAACGACTAAAGACAAGACATTAGTCAATACTGGCTGCCTGTAGGATCAAAACAGGTATCAACACAGTTTTCTTTTAGTAGATTATCTAAGTTTTAAATTCACATATTTCTTCAGTACAAATGTGTAGGTTTGATTACATGTGACCTCCAGTCTGTAGGCGCTTATTTAGGGACACTGTGGGGTTGTACTTGAGGATCGCCGGGGTCGGAGAAGTAGTTGCAGAAAAACAAAGATGCTCCAATGAGGCATGGGTAGTGTCCCTTTGCAAAGCCTCATGGGATCTGGAGTTTAATGATGATACAAAAACATTCACTTCTTATAACACCTTGCTTTCTGTTTGTCTTGCTTTAGTAGCTGTTAGCATCGATAGTCAGGCATGAATTCCAGATTTTTTTTGTTTTTCCACCTTTCAGTTTGTCCAGGTAGTTTTAATTAAATCAAACTGTGGTTGTTTGTCTCTGCTCTGACGCCAGCGAGTTTATTTCTGCTACCAGAGAAGTTCTGCCTTCACAGAAACCGTCTGAACCTCCAGCCCGCTCCTCAGCAGTATAGGGATGGAATGGGGGGGGGGGATTGGGGGGGAGTGGGTTTACAGCGACCCTCCACCCCTGCCCTCCTTCCTTTAGTTGCCTTCAGTGTAACAAACTGGTCCTGATCTTCCTGAGCACAACTGCTTGAGCTGTGACACTTGCAGGATGTCGCCCCTCTGAGAGTCCCCCCCCCCCGGCCTCCCTCTACTCCCTCCATCCCAACCCCCCCCCTTCCTTCCCCCTCTTTACCTTCCAGTATGTGAGTCGACCGGCCCCTTTTGTACTCCTGTTATTCTGTACATAAAATCCCAACCCACCCCACCCCGACCTTCACCCTCACCCCTCCTCCTCCTCCTCCTCCCCCCCTTAGCCGTCCTTCCAGGGGGGAAAAAAAAAAAAAACATCCTCCGACTCCCCCGAAAAATCTTGTATTTTGTTCTAATAATGACAAAATTTATTTATAAGGACTTTTTAAAAAAAATCTATCTCTTTCTCCTTTTTGTAAATGTTCCAGTAAAATAAAGTTTAAAAATGTGAAAAAATTTAATGGATATATTGAAAGGTTAAAAAAATGTCTCTAGAAGTCCCCGCCCCCCCTCCTCTGGCTCTGTACTCTGAACTTTGTGTTTTTGTTTTTTCTCTTTCTGTATGCTTCTCTTTACGTGCTTCAGATGAAGAGTTCTATTTATTATGACATTAACGTTATTATAATTATGACTAATTATTAATATTATCATCATCCTCATCATCCTCATTATTATCATTAATAAACTTGTCTACTTCAGCCTTGCTGTCTCAGCGCTGTTTTGTGGTGAGTGATGAGTTGCTGCGTGCTTTTTTGGGGGTAGGGGAGGGGCTGTGGGACTACAAATCCCATGACACAACATCACTGCAATACAACAGGAGATGAGCCAGGTGGAACAGGGAAAGGATGACGCTCCCAGTGCCCATTTGTCTTATGCCAAACCCCCCCCCCCCCCCCACCTCCGGGCTTTGCAAGATGGAGAGCACCTGTCTGTCGCCGAGGCCGCCATTTACCTAAGCAGAAGCAAAGACAAACTCTGAGCGTGGAGCGGAGGATGAAGAAATATAAGACGCACGCATTCAGGGGGATGGAGGAGGAGAAGCAAAAAAAGAAAAAAAAAACACAAATGTAAATACTTCAAAAGATCAGCGCCTTTCCATCACTGTTGACTTTGTTTTAATCCTTTGAGCCTCTACAAACAATGGGATATGGGATTTTTTTTTGTGTCACAGCCCAACGGGGGGAAAAAAAAAAGAAGAGAAATTGACATGCCAGCAACACTGTTGTTGTCGCTCTTTCTGTGTGTCACCGCTGTGCCGCATCAAAAATGTGCACTACGTGAACACGCCGTGCCATCCTTTTCTTACATTTTGGAGTGTTTTACAGCTGGAGGCTCACACTGAAGAAACACTCACATCTACCTCTCTGTCTTTCTTCACCTGGATTGAGCGATCGCAAGTCAGGGTTCAAATGGAAAAGGAAACAAAGGTCAGACTCTGTGTGCTGATAATGGAAGAGAAAAACTAATCCCAGAATCTTTGCTGTTAAAGTCTATCTCAACACACAAACACTTTGCAGAGCGTTTCATTTCTGCTAAGTGCAGGCTGCTCTGACTCATTGTTACTTCTTCTACGACAAGAACGCCTTCATATGCAAGCGATATCACCGTGAGGTAATTTAGACACAAACCTTTTCAAACAAGTGTAAGACACCAGGAGCTTCAGCTTCCATCCTGTGGTAAGTGATGTGATGTAGTAAAAGACTTTAAAGTCTTTATATGTGATTTTTTTGATCCAGCAGATGTCGCCCTTGAGCACCAGCATGAAACCAAAACAACTCGCACTGCATTGTTGTGTTAGCATGCTAATGCTAGTGATCTTTATTATGCTCGTATCTTCACACTGCATGTAAATTTACCTGAAATGAGCGTGATCTAGAAACACAGTTAAGCAGTGAGTACAGTATGTTATTCTTCTTTTCTCTAGTCCCTCAATTAAACAACTTTTATACACGAGGGGAGGAGTCAGCCGGCTGTCCTGGCGATGTAAACAAAGTGAAGATAGGACTCTGAAAACTCTGAAAACATCACAGACAGTGGGACTCGGGTGTTACACCCATTGTAGACAGTCATGACTCACAGAGTTATTTTCAGAGGATATACTTGATTTCTACATTTAAGTGTGAAAAGTCACATAAGCCTTTAAAGGAAACATCCAACTATCTCATGACCGAGGTGTGGAGAACATCACACTATCACATTGAACAGAAAAGATCCAACACACTGCTTCAGCTTTCAGACGGACTGAAACGTTGTGATTTTTTCTACCAAATTGATCATGCCGAGTGACCCCCCCCCCCCCAATCCCCACATACTCTGCGCATTAAGCCA